AAATGATATTTCTGACATGATAAAATATGGTAAACCCTACCTGTTTGCTGACGACTTAAAAATCGTGTATAGCTTTCCCCACTCATCGCTAAGTGAGGGTTTTAATAGAATCCAGGAAGACCTGACGAATTTGTTTGCTTGGAGTGAAACATGGCAACTTCCACTTAACACTAGTAAATGCGGAATTCTCTGTTTCAATAACTCTTATCCAAACGTCAGTTTACACCTTGGCGATTCTATGCTGCAATCTTACAACTCAGTATGTGATTTAGGTATTAGGTATTCTCGGAACTTAACGTTTACGGAATATGCCCAGTCACTTGCCTCCAGGTGTCGGCGCTCAGTTGGCCTTTTGCTTAAACACGTACATACCAATGAGGCTAGACTGCTTTTATTCAAGGTAATGATCCGCCCAGTACTTGAATATGGCACAATCATCTTCAGCAATATGTATGCTTCGGATAGGATACTAATTGAGAATGTTCAAAGAAAGTTTACCCGCTGTGTACTGGGCCGTCACGAAGAACTTGATTATGTGGGAAGGTGTAAGAAATTAAAAATTGACCCACTTTGGCTAAGACGCCTTAAGCTTAACCTTAGCCTATTTTTCCGCCTTTTGCATGGCATTACTCACGCCTGTTGCGCTCCTACTTTTAAGCCTATATCTTCATATAGTCTACGCAATCGTGAATGTACTGTACCTGTAGAAAAGCACCGCCTTAAACTTAGGTCACGATCCTTTATGTTACAGTACAGCAAGTTATGGAATAAGCTTCCACATTTTATTCGCTCTTGCATGTCTGCATTTCAGTTTCGACGTCTACTCAACGAATTCTTCCTTTTCACGGATATCCATAAATTTCTTGACATTCATATTATATCCACAAATACGAAGCATAATGGAGCAATCGGCACATAACAATGGTCAAGCCATTGCGTCCGCTATGAACGTACTCAGATCTCTAAATGTAAGAATCGGTTTTATTAAAGCCCTGAAGTTCGTTTAATGCAGATGGCCTCACGATTGCATACACGGGTATGAATACCGGCTCCTCTCCGTATAATGAACTTAAAGAATACTGTTTATTACTGAAAGCCACTACGGTACACCCCCCCTCCCAAAAAAACGACTTAATAACCCTATAATGGAAGGACTATGTAGTTGACTTAACATATATACATGAAAATGTACATCAAGTCCGAATAAATAAAAAAAGGATAGGGACCTTTCTCTTCTCCAAATTTGATAGCGTAGTAATCTGTATTTCCATATCTGCTCGTGCCTCTCCTTTCTTTCCCCATTTGCAGAAACAGCTGCAAGTCGACATTTGATGTTCAAATTCAGTCTGAACGTGATTACTTTATGGGAATAACACCTGCTCATTGACGCCAATAATTATTGGACTACTCCCACTCTTTCGCAAATTCTGGACCATCTTCAAGATTAACTCGCCTACTCGTCATGATTTTTCTTGCGACGAACCGTCTGACCATTCCCAACAGTATTAGTAGCAGAGGCATTCTGAACAGATGATTAAACCAGAGACCAATTAAAATATTGGCTCAGGAGGTCACTTACCTGCAATGGCTTCACACTAGACATTTTCTAGTACTCTGTACCAAGAGACCTTTTCATATGGAACTTACTACGCATCAAATACACTTCTCGAATGATGCCGCCTATGCTAATACAAAAGATGCTCGAAATCTATGGACTATTGACTGTTTCAACACCTATTTTCATCCAATACAACGAGTATTCCCAGCAGAATTAATCTATATCACCTTTAAAAGTAACATGGTGACCTGGATATGCATTGATATAGCCATACACGTTGGTTATATAACTGTGGATACTTTATTGTTACTCCAGATTGTATAAATGGGTCCTTTGTGGTTAGCAAACTAAAAACTGAAGATCATTCTAAGTAATAAACTATTATATTACTAATCAGCAAACTATGCGAATGGACTAACAACGTCGGTTGGTTACAACGCAAACTTTGAACAATGCGCGCTTTTGATATTGATAATGGAACCTATCTATGTGATGGGAGATGGCAATCCATATCCGTCTCATGAATTTCAGCAACTTTCAATAAGATTATGCACAATAATGACTTGATATGTAAATTATTTAATACTAGATACTTTCAAAGGTTATGAATTTGACGGTGCTTGTAAACTGGTATCCCTCATGTTAAGCCTGTTAAATGAAGGCGACATTTACTATTATCTAAACTTTAATACCCTATGTACTGCAAAGTAATATTTCCTCGTTCATTTCATAACTAGCAGGACCTTCGGCATTTTTTTTTTAAATTTTTTTAAATTGAGTTTAATGACATTCCATCAGTACCACTCAGGGCTCAAATCTTGTAGACATTTTGAGATGTATCAACGTGATGAAGCCTGTAAACTGGCTTCTCTCATGTTAAAATCCTTTTTTTTAACACGAGAATAAAACATTTGTTTATTTAGTAGTGTTACTTGCCATATTGTCCAGTGTTGAAAAGTCTAGTTTCAGGTGCTGGTCGAGACTGTCTAAACGGAAACAAGACGGTTCATCCTGCCAGGTGTGGCTTCAGGACCAGACACCCGACCAGATAACCGCCTGAAATGTCTGGGCCATTAGATGGGACAACAAGCAGCCAGTCCACCTTATCTTTCTGGGCTTGGCCGACGCTTTCGATCGAGTCCCCTACTACACCACGCTCCCTAAGCTTACGAAAGTGGGTAGCACTCGGCCACTGTTAGCATGATTTACGGCATGTCTGGAAGATGAGGAGTTCTGTATTAAAGCAAACGGAATTCGACCAGCCTGGAGGAGCGCAACAACAGGAGTTTCTCAAGGGGTGATCCTTCGGTCACTCCTGCTATTACGATTCATCACTGGCCCCTTCTCTCACATCTTCCCGCCTACCCCACTGTTTGCCGATGACATCAAAATATGGGGGATGGTAGGTAGGGAAGAGGATGCTGGGGGTACTCCAAGACGATCTACTGCAGCTGGAGTTCTGGTCAGCTGCGAACGGTTTAGGCCTTAACCTGGAGAAATACAAGGTAGTGTGAATTTGTGCACCGAGAGTGATGAAAACCAGCTACATTTTTCACAAGTGTCCAACCACCAGTGTACCCACCGTGAAGGACCTGAGGTCAAACTTTTCTGACACGTTGGATACTAGTGCCAGCTATAAGCGAGTGACATCATGCACTTGCTAAGAAGGTAGCTTTAGGCACCATCCCTAGACCTATTCCTCAGCATGAGAGCGAAACCTCCACTAAAGAGAGGCACGGGTACTCTCGAGAACGTACAGAGAAAGGCGACAGGGTCCGCTGTCGAACTAACAGGCAAAACACGCGCAAAGCCTCATACGACTCAACCTGGTCACGCCGAGCCATTGAAGTAAAAGAGGTGACCTAACAATAGCCTCTAAGATCGTTTACCGGCTGGATCACCTAAATAAGCCATAGCTAAATCAGCTGATCCCTCCAAACTACTGCTGAATAAGTACCTGAGCGCAAACGGGTTGCCACGACCATTTGATGGTAGCAACTGAAGGCACGCTCATCCACCCCTTCATTATTCAACCCTGGTGTCCACAGTAAGACCCATTCATTCTCCATACTATTACCGGCAGCAGTTGTTATTCCTTCAAACACACAAGGCAACAATTTGCACGAGGAAACCAGACATTAGAAATAGACAACCAACACCTTCAAAGGGAATAGCAGCAGAGGCGAACGCCATTATGCACTTTCTAAGAGGGCAGCTCGGATCAATAACCCAGAATTACTCCTAAGGGTATTTAAAACTTATGTTAGACCGCACCTAGAGGTGGTCAACACGATAGCCCTCCAGTACTAAAGAGAGACACAAATACCATTAAGAAGGTACGGAGAAGAGCGACAAAGTCGGCCGTCGGACTAACAGACTAAACATATGCTGAACGCCTCAGACAACTCGACATGTTCACACTAAGTTATCGAAGGAAACTAGGTGACCTGGTAACAGCCTACAGGATCATTCACCAAGTGGACCACCCAAGTAGGGCAGCGCTATCGACCCAAATTCAACGGTCACGCGGGTACCCCACTCGCACACCCCACTACGGTGAAAAGATGAGAGTGAGATCCAGCTTCTTCTCCCACAGAGTATGTTCCTTATGGGATGCTGTGCCGAAGGAAGTGGCCACAGCTACATAGGTCGACTCCTTCGAACGACTGATACATGAGTATGCGAGCACAAATGGCTCAGTGCGAACATTTCTCAGGAGCAAATGATGATGCACTTTTCCACCCTTGTGTTCCCTAACCCTAGTATCTGCAATAAGACGCATCTCTCCTCCACACTATTACCAGTTACGTTCATCTCCTCACAAGCACTTTTCACTCCTATCTTTCTCATTCCCCCACTCACCCTGTTTTAGCACTTTTTAAGTAACGCTCAAAACTTACTTGCGGAAGCTTACAATAAAAAGAATTGCAAACCGTTGATCAATCTTATCAGCAGCTCTGTTGGCTAAAATTTACAAATAAAATATCCTCAAATAGACAATCATTGCCTCCAAATCTATGAGCAGGAAAAAGCAAAGAATTCTGCAGCCGTCGAAGGAGTACAACCGAATAAAGACAACCGAGCCCCAAGGTCTAGAAACAAGGGCTTAAAAACCACAAGTTTCCCCTACTCGCACCATTGATGTTGGCATGGTGGATGAAAGCTGTAAGTACAAAAAACAGACGTTTGTGACCACCGAGGGAGTATCACCTAGCAAAAAGAACCGAGCGGCAAGACTTAGAAGTGAGTGCGAAAAAATTAACTGGTTTACACTAGCTTGTAAAAAGATATTGGATTGTTGTTAAAATGAAGTGAACTACATTGTGGCAAGGTCAATGTTACGAGGTTGGATAACGTTTTCCAGATTTCTGTATTTGGAATTGCTATGAACAGGCTACCTTTGTTAATGGCATCGTCTGTTATCGCAGTGTCTGCGTTTACAATGTTCTGCCTTGCAAAATGGTTTAAGAATTCGAAAGTTGAAAAAGAGTCGTCGAAGATATCATCGCATTTTACTGCAAATGATACTTCTCTGTCCAAGGTTACTGAATTTGATAAAGAGAACCTGTCACTTGGGTTTGCGACCTGCCTGTGTTCTTTGATTAAAGTGTCTGACTATAATACGCGGCAGAATCTCATCATGTGTCTCCATGAAGCTTCGTCATTTTGTCAAAACTTCGTAGCTATTATTCGCTTCCTCGGTAACCTGTTTGTTCTAGGGTGTGATTAGGGATTCCAAATGCTTGGAAGCTCTTCTTTCTTTACTCGATTCCAAGTCGAGTATGCTACCGGTATGCAGGCAAAATCTGAGCATACTTCAAGTGACAACAAACCTTGCGTGTGATCAACAGAGCCTTCCCATAATTAAGGTACTAACGTTTCCTACACAGTATTTATTGCAGAACTATTTGGGTGATATTTTCCTCATAGCTGATACGACGGAGTACAGTGATCAGGCTTGTGCTGCTTTTCAGGTCTTGGCTAATATAGCACTGACTTCACCTGGGTGCGATGTAATGCGCGATGAGTGTGGTCGTTTATGCAGCATGCTGGGAATGCGCAATCCATACCTACTTAGGAACTTATTAGCAGTTTTAGTAAATTTATCATGCGATGCAAACTGTTGTGACAAACTCCTTGTACAGGTAAGTATTCCTTTAAACTTTTACTCATGGCTTTAGAATCCTGAGGAATTTGCAAAGGCTGTGGAATATTCATTATCTCTAGATGTTCCTCCGTTAATTTCCTTGAAGATGACAGCTCTGCTTAACAATCTGTATTCTCAGATAGTCAAGGAGAAAGAAAAATACTGGAGTTCTGTTGGTTCTGCAGTTTATCCGAAGACCATCGCTGTTTCACTTAAGGTATGCTTTTTAAAGTTTCCTACTATAAAGTGTGATCAAGTTTCGGAACGTAATTTCATATTTGTTTATTCAAAGATCTCTGTCAAATTTTTAATGTAATACGTATCGATTGATATCACGAACAGAAACAACTACGTCAACAGTTGAAAATTATCCAGTAAAATCAAAACAGCCACTGTAACTTAAGTGTGAGGATACCGTTCAACAGTGATAAAACCAAATATATACATTCTTACCATACTGAAATGCCAAGATGTATGAATAACAGGGAAATTAATATATAACACCTGTAAGAGCGGGATCACGATAGCATTCCCTGACGAGATATTACAGCATTATGGCTTCCTAACTCTTTTAATTTTAATCTGTTGCTTGGATTTGTTAATCATCGGGATGAATAGTGGCCTTTTTGAGTATCTTTTTTGAAATTGGTGAGTCCCGACGAGTTCGCCAGTTGAAAGAGAAGAAATGCACTCAGCAACAACATACACATTCAAGGAGTAGGGAACAAGACACCCAGTTTGTGGGGGCTGATGATACCACCTGATTGTCGAGGCTTCAATAGGTGGGTTGAAGCTTGAACTCGTGACCCATCAGTTGAAGGTTGAAAGCCTAGATTGATGAGACATGGCTAGCCAGTATGAGGTTAATCACACTAGTCGTTACTACCTTTGCGTTCAGGTCGTTGTCTTATTTTATCTTAAACCTTGCTTTATCATTCGAGTTATATTGTGTCGTTATCCTATAAGTAAACAACGGCTCTCTAAATCTCAATGGGAGTGGGTTTTTTTTACGAAATAATTGAAATTTGGTCACTAAAGACACTAAGCTTGCTCATGTCCAATTACTTTTAAGCTATTGGATTTATTTTAGGGATGCAGATTGCAAAGGATAGAGGATTCGAAAAGCTCATTACCGAATCTGTGTGCAGAAAGTAATAAACGAAATGAAGTAGTGTTGAGATAAATAAAGGAATTATAGTGTTCAAGTCACAATAGTGTTATTAGCTTGTTATTTAACCCCCTGAACACTAAACCTGATGATATTGCTCACTGTCATCTAAAAAGTGCATTCTTCGTGAATAACTAGCTTTCATATGCGCATCATAGTCCATCTAGTGGTTTAGCTTTGACTTGCAAACCCAGCTTATTAGAGTTTACGCATTAGTTAACAGTCCTTAGTCCTGTCATTAGTTGATTTCCCTGCCTGTCCTGGTTTTCCACAAACCAATGTTTACATGGATGACGTATATATATATATATATATATATATATATATTTCACAGTGATTCAGGTTATTACATCTCATATCAGCGCATTAAGCAACAGTGCAATCAGATGAGAGATAAAGAAACAGAGAAGATAGTAGTAAAAGATAGGAAGGAAAAATAAGAATACTGAGTTCAGGATGATGATTAATTTCAAAGTAATTTGTGGATACATCTGCACCTTATCACCTAGAGTCTGCAAACACTGATTTCTGTTATCACGCAGAAACCCACCGAGAAGTCTGCGTTTTCGTACACAACTGGATCAGTCCAAGACTTCATGCAATGATGCCATGTTTTGGTCTGGCCATCCCTAACCTTTTTCCAGACTGAACTTAATTCAGCTAATATTGTGCTACGAGGCAGACAATGACTAGGCATGTGTTACATGTCCCTGCCACCTTATTTGATGAACGTTCAAAATCTCATTAACTGACTTTCCTCTTCTGCCTAATTCTCTACATCCGACTTCCGCATTACTGACATCGTGACAACACACACCATATGCTACGAAGGTCAAAAACCTAAAGTCTTCTCATATCCTTTACTTTTAACAGCCGTGTTTTACAACCACATGGTGGAACTGCGAATTGCAGTACATTACACTAGACTGTTGATAGACAATCGGAGATCACCATCTCACAACAGAGATGGTGAACGCCAATTAAGCCTTCTGTATCCGTGTAGAGGTTTCAATCAATCCTGGACCAACAGTTTGCATTTGGGTGGCGCGAAGTGTATCCAAAACTTCCTCAAATTACTAATCAAGGCGACCAGAAGACTCTGTACCTTGTTTGCGTCTTTTTCTAATAGGAGTATGCCATCTGCGTTCTCTATATTCTCCTCTAATAGGACCAGTTTTTTCAATCTTACTGAATATCAATAGGACCTCAATGAAGTGGATTTTGTCTTTTGGAACTTTTATATAAATGAAGTAATATATAGCACCCTACATATCGAAGCCTATACAAATTAACTTTTGAATTCTTTGAATCCAAAACAGCGAATTTTATACATTTTTGATTGCTGGCTGAAGTCAAATGAATAATCTCATTTAAATCTTAGAAATGTCATCCGTAATTCATGATGTTAGCGTTTTTACAAGTGATTTTCAAACATTTGTGTCATCAAGGATGCCATAAGTTTGGTTACTAAGAGATGTTATACTATTTGACAGAGTTTAAACTTCAAGAGCTCCTAAGTGCAGCTTTCAACATGCTTTCTGATAATCAAGGATACTACTTCTCTGACTGGTATCTTTATCGTTATCAATGGTTAGAAGTTAACTAGACAAAGAAGTCATGGAAGAAATAATGTTTATAATGTATACAAAGAAACAAAAATAAAGAGAAGTGCTGTTGATTGTGGGGAGGTATTGTGTTGAAAGTGGACGAGTGATTTTCCTCCATCACTCATATCCCACATTTTCACGTCGTGAATTATCTTAGGGAGAAACTCTTCCACTTCGGCTTGATGAATGGACCGAAGAGATATCTGTCAAAGACTACGTTCGTTTTTGCGTTGGTATTGGAACAAATTTTTACTGGATGACGTAGTTGTTCCCGTTTATGATAATATCAATCTATACATATCGCATCAATGATTTGACGGTTATCGGGGATTTTTCTTCGCTAAACTCAGTAAACAGCAAACGTTGAAGATTGGCTTGTATATATATCTCGATAGTTCACTCAAGTTTTATTACCTACCTTTATATTTTCTCGCCTCCGACTACTGAAGTGTTTAGGTTTTCATTTAATGGTTTTTCTTTTATTTTTCAGGAGAATCGTACTCGAATTGAATCATGGATTCTGTCTTTACTGTCATCATCGGAGAATTCTATCGAATTCAATGCTCATTTGCAGAAACTTCTATCTTTTGTGAAAAGTTGAAAATTCCCAGCTCAGAAATCTGGTTTCTAGCCATTTAACGATAACATTTTGCATATAACATGTGAATTCATTTTATGCAATTATTTCTGTATACTACTTTTTCCACGGATAAAAATATTTTCATTTTTTGCCTTTATGTTTTTCGTAGCTTCCTTATTAGATAATATGGTTTATTTCGGAACTATTTTAGCCATGCTGCCGAGAAAATCTTTGTCAGCACTCTTCGCATTACTGAACACTCCAGTGTTATCGGAAGGCCGGATTTTTAAATGTAATGATCATGAGTATTCCATCGTTTCTAAATGGACACAAACCGATGTTGTTCGCAAGGATAGTGTTTCATACTCACAAACGCATTTCATCAAAGTGCCGCAGCAAATCTGTGAAAGTTTACACGTAAACTATGGTTCACAAGTACAATTTTCTTCGTTTGGGAAATGCTGTCCTGTCGCTTCACAGAATCAAGTACGTACTGTTTGGGATATTCAGTCTCCAGATGGCTGTCATAGAGCTGTGTGCATCGAGTATACTCCACCGTCAATGTCTCCAATCTCATCAAAATCTGTTACTGCTAGTTCTGCAGAAACAGGTATTTTCGTTCAAATATGGATCAACGGATACTTCTCAAATTGCATTAAGCTCCCAACAACGTCTGCTAATGCTCGTCATGGTCGTGTTCATCCATCATGGGGTCCGTCATTTCATGGAGCTGTCTGGTCAAGTGCAAATGATAAGATTGCATATCTGGCGGAGGATGTCCTTGATGGCTCTTCAGAAGTAATATTTTGTCTTTTTTGTTAGGGAGTTGTACATATTGTCACGTATAGACAGTATTAGTTAGCCTTGTTTTCAAGTTTAGTTATGACCATTACCAACATTATTAATTCGATGTGTTGTTAAGTTCAAAACTAGTTCAAGAAAGACAACTTCACCTACATGTATCTAGCTGGGAAGAGACTGATACAATAGCTATATTATTCCATCTCTATATTTAAGTCATGGAAGCTGAAATATGCATATTTCAGTAAATTAGGTAAGTATTCATTTTCCCTAATGACTGAGAGATTTAGTTGTCATAGCCCAAAAGCTTAATAGATAAACTCCTGGTGTTCGAATCAATGTGTGCTGCATTCGAGTCTCAGTCAGAACACCAAAAGATGGCTGCAAATATATCTAACTGACGAGCCTCAAGCGGGTTCGGACGTGCGTCGTAGATTCTATTGTTGGGCAATATCTAAATATATAAGCCTTTAGGATAAAGACTGAGTATTTTTAATAATATACCGAGGAATTGGCTGATGTTTTATCTATAATTACCAAGTAAATCTCAGTTCCTAAAGCATATGCTGTTTAAAAAAAACTAGTTACGTGTAGCCATTGGTGTTGTATCTCTGAGTAAGGCTAACACTGAGGAGTCTATTCCTAACCAGAGCAAAGCATTGTAATGAATATTGAGTTTCCTACCAACACTGCGTTCTTAGTTTAACTTTGGTTCTCCATTTTTCATGCTTAACGGTTGCCATATTTCACTTTACGTAACTTGAATACATACATCTAATGCAATTCAACTATTTGCTAGTTAAGAGTATGGCGAATGAAACTCATGTTTTGTAACATTAATGCAGGATGATATTTGTAATCATCGAGATCAAGACAAGAGGTTTTCATTTTCTTGATCTAGTCTGGGTTATTTGTGTTAATTTCATTTTACCACCTAATGGTTTCCATTGGGATATACGATATAGTGAAGTTAGAACACATAACCATCTGTGTGCAGTTTATAGAAGTAATGTAGCTGTAACTGGTGATGGACATTTTAAGGATAGGGATAGGAATTTATGCCATGACAGCATGAGATTCCTCTAACAGTCGAAGTTTGAATAAAACTCACTCTCTTAGACATTTATACTGTTTAGAAAGTTGACAAGTTATCACAAAATGCTATGAAACGTTGCTGAAAATTCAAGTTTAATGCGTGCAATGTTGTAGTTTTTCTTCAGAAGTGTTTGTTTTAAAGTAGAACCACAAACAATAGTCTAACTCCGTCGACAGATGTTTTTAGTCCAAATCTCAGTGTAGTAGGTATTAATGAGTTTATTAAACTTGAAGCCTTTAATCGTGTTCCGTAATAAAACTCACTTTTTCGTAGAGGAAACAGGCCATCACCTACACCTTGTTTGAACACTACCAGATATTATGAGAAGTGATTGGCGCATGTATGCCTCGAAGTTGTCTGTTAACAGTCTCGACGCCTTTCGTTGCTAATTGTAATATATGTCAAACTTCTTCGGTCTTCATAAGTAGACAGGTGATTTTTTAATGCTGAAAGGCAGCAACAAAATTTTATGGCATCAGAAAAGTGTTGATATGTTTTAAATCATTGTTCGTAATGTGGTCTTCTGGTAGAATATCCTTTCTGTTATGGTTGAAGTAAAATCATTTTCGAAACTATGCTTCCGTGAACGAAAATTTGGTTAGTCGGGAAGAAATGATCAAGTCTTTTATACATAAACATTACTCCCTGGTCAGTATATGAGTCCTTTATCAGCTCCGACTTTAGCATCGTATGTGTTTAGCGTTTTACGTAGTACATGTGGACAGGCTTCAGAGTATGTGATCCAAAAACATCTGTTCATCAGTAGAATCAATGATATATATATATATATATATATATATATATATATATATATATATATATATATATATATACACTAGTTGGTTGGTTGGGGGCAATCGTCAGAAAGTCATGGCTGACCAGGGATATCGTGCTTGCTGACACTCATCAGCAAGGCGTATCTGCGACCTCAAGGGGACTGATGTCCCGCCTGAGACTCAAACTGGTATCACCCAGTGTTTTAGTCAGCGACTTTACCACTGAGCCATTCGGGCCGCGATTGATCTCCTTAAGGACCGGATGACATGCACTGATTGGCTACTAGAAAGCAACCAATTACATGTTGTCTAGTCCTGAGTGGTGACCGAATTCTGTCGAGGTTGAAGATACACTTTGGTGGTGAATGCAAATAAGCAAAAAACCTTGGTCCAGGGCTTTCTACTGATTACCTCTAACCAACTAACATACATCAGAGTGCACTGCTATGTTGAGCCTCCTAGCTTGGTGGTCATACTTCAAAATGATCGATGGAATTCGGCCAACATTCGGGATTGGACAACATGAAATTACTTGCTTTCCAGTGACCAGTCACTGTACATATATTAATTGTTGTTTATAGGATGTTGGAGTCAAGTCTTCGGAAGACGATTCCTCATCGTTTGTATTTCAAGAGGACTGGGGTGAAGGATATGAAGGTTTACGCAAACCAGTAATATGTGTTCTCGACCTAGCTACCGAGACTGTTAGTCTCGCTCCAATGAAAGAAAATAACCTAGATCTGGCTTCAAATGAGCCATTGTGGACTCCTGATGATAATGGGATTGTATTTGTTGGGTATCGTCTACAGGCCTACAATCTCGGATTAATTTACTGCATTCAACGTCCATCTCAGGTTTACTTTTGGGATATGAGTAAGTGTTTTTTACCCGTAAACTATTAAAATGCTCACGTTGCCTACTGCAGTGTAGTAGTTTCACCATTAGGTGGGTAGTGTAGCAAACAGTAAACAATGCACAATATCACTAAGCATCACACTTCGTAACCAAATAGAGGCAGGCAATTAAATATATATCACAGTAAAGGAACAGTGTTAGACAGAAAAAGCATGGAGATTAGAAGATTTTTAGAATTTCGATCATGAACATCTGTGCCTTTGTGATTATGCAGTGTTTCTACCCAATGATTTCCAACATTTGGAGGTCATTAGCCACATGCATAGAACTGCCTTGAAAGCATCAAACCAGTTGTCAGTGAGTCCGTGGATTAGTCTCACGTCTTTGTCTGATCACCCTTAGCTCTTATCAAATTTAGCTCTGCTCTAGCTAACACTGTATCATTTGAGAGTGGATCTGTGCAAGATACACCCAAGTCATCTCAGTTGATGCATATTCACAGTCTCACCGACTTATTTACTTTCATTCTCCCCGGTGTTCTGCTCTCAATTTTGTACAAAATTATGCTTCACTTGACGTTTGTCACTGACGACTCTAGTTAACAATTTTTACTATTGATGAATTCACATGGTATGCTTCTTATTGATTATTATTTACTGTTGAGCAGTAAGTATCAACCGACTGCCCCTTTATCCTGATGATAACCGTTCAGTGCTTAACCGTTGGCTTTAGTCAGTTTTTGTAATCACAATATCATGTTTAATATCTACTGGTTGTCAATTTGATTTTCAAAATACTACTAACTACTATTAATTTTATTAATTTATCAAAGAAAACGACAGCATTAAGCCTATCAGTGAAACCGGTCAGTCTGTCCATTGCCCTCGATTCAGTCCGAATGGTGCATATTTAGTTTGGCTTCAGAATCCTGTTGGAGGACCACATGGACAATGTGTTTCTTTAGTCGGTATTGATTGGTCAGTCGGATATTTTAAGCCCAAAGTTATCATACCACTGGTAGACAAACCATCCAATGATGATTATACCGACAGATTTCCAGGTAGTAATTTTGTTCATGTAATGTCTATATCATCCTCTTCAAAACTTTTTTTCAGTTTGATTTATAAAACTCATGTTTATTAAGGCACCTTATATTAGTACACAATAATAAGTAGGAATGAAATACAACTGATATAAATGTATATTTCTTCCAGTTGTTACATCCTAATCCAACAACATAGCTAGAAAACTCAGCAAAAAAGAAACCAAGCAAATAATTGTGTTATTAGCATTGAAAATTAGCTGGGAGAAAACTCAAAGGAAAGAGGGGAAGATATAGAATGGCTAGTAGTTCAGAACAAATGGATGTATATGCACCACTGTGATCCATTTCGAGCTATGCAACCTGAAGTCTCCGTTTATCGATTCGCATTGTTTCATGGACCGGAATCAGTTTATTAAATAACTTGAACCGTCAATCTGACATACAGACAAACAAAAGCAACATGGGACCTCGCACATAAGTGCATCGGTTCAAGTTGTCACACTTTATAGCATCGTTCAAAGAACATGTGGAAAGAATAAGAGAGTGATATCAAAGTAGACATAAGTGTATAGGAAGAGAAGGAATTCGAAAATGAAGGTTATTTGAAAGATTCAAGCTTTAGAAGACACCAAAGAGTGAATACATCTTCATTGTTGTTACCGATTTCAAGCCAAGTCCTCAACCACTGGTTCCTGTCATCTCGGGGACCCCAGCCATACAGATCACACCTCCCTACACGGCTCATACAAACATCCAGGGACTTCATGAACTGGCTGGTGCCACGTCTTTGTCCGGCCACTTTAAACCCTATTTCAAACGAATTCAGCTTCCGCTTGCATTGCGCATCGAGGTAGTTGGTGGTTCGGCATGCGCGATATATGTCCAAGCCACCTCGGTCACTGAAGATACACAACCTCATCGACCGGTTTTCCTTCGTTGCCTAGTACCCTTCTCCTGACTTTGTAATTGCTGACGTGATGATTCCACCATACGCGAGCAATACTACAGACATACTTGTGGTCAACAACCTGTAACCGCTTCATATCTCCTAATTTTGACGACCATGTCTCACAGCCGTATAACAAAAAAGGACGGACTGCGGCGCAGTACACTCCAACTTTAATAGGTAGTCGGATACCTCGCCAGTTGGCTCCACGAATGACGCGAGTTGGCAAATGCCAAACGGACTTTCCCTATCTGAGCGGAGATCGCACCAGCAACCAGCCCGTTCGAGCTGATGCGACTCTCTAAGTAGGTGAAGTGGTCGACGCATCCCACCACTTCACTCCCTATCCTTAAATGAAGGGTAGTTTCAAACCCGTCCTGGAGCATCACCTTACAAGTGAAATGCGCGAAACTCATACCAAACATACTCAAATATCTTCTCAAGGGGTTCAGAAGATCCTGCATTGCATCAGCTTCTTCACCTATTAGGACAATATCGTCTGCGCACTCCAAGTAAACCAGACACCATCCAGGAAGTAGATCAATACATGTTAAGTCAGATATACCTAGGGTTATGTCCATTAAAACAGGAAGATTGACAGCAGGTATCCATTGGGGACACCATTAGTTGTCATCAATTCACATAACAACTCTACATGGCTGCATGAGTTTGAGTGTAGAGCTTTGCTTAGCGTTACATACTTGCTGGGTCTACCCTTCACAGTCAAACATTTCTATAACACCTCACGGTCGACAGAGTCGAATCCCGCCTTTAGGTCAAAAAATATGGCTAGTATTGGCTGCCATTAAGTATGCCTGTGCTCCAAAACCTGTCGTAGAGTAAAAGTGTGATCGATGCACCCTCATCCAGGTCTGAAACCCCCTAATTTTCTCGAGTTTGCTGTTATCGAGCCACAGTTAGGCGTCGAATAATAGTGGACCCTAGAATCTTGGACACAGTATTAGTCCCCTATGGTTGTCACAAGAAGCTTCCACCCCCTTTTTGTAGATTGGGATGACTAGTGAAGTAGACCAGTCTGATGGCACTACCTCTGATTTCCATACACCTAACACCTCTGTCATTTTGATTAAGAATTCCCTACCTCCATCCTTCAGGTGGCAAACTGTCAGGTCCTGCTGCTTTTTATCGTTTCAAGTTCGAAACAGCCTTCTGAGGTTCAAGGAAAGTTGGAGGACCAACACTTACATCTCATTCAGGTTCTGTTGATCAGCTTGCACGCTCTTCACTAATACTGAGAAGTTTTGGTTCCATCCAAGGATGAGTTATAGTTTGCATGAATTAGCGTTTCATTGGTGTAGAAATTAACCTTACAACCTCTCTATAATGGATACATATATCTTTCCACCTAATTCAGCTTAAGCAACCAAGTGAGATCACAAACATCTATATATTTAGAGCTCTTTATTGTTCTAATCCGTCCTCTAAATAGCTATGATGGATGGCACTGAGAAATTTGATGATGCTCCTGCATCATCGTACGTTCTATGTAACTAGTTCCACTGGAACAGTTGAACTCGTTAATTTCAAATCGGACCTAGAATAGAATTGTTGTAGATGAGACATAATTTAGCGTCAAAAAACTGCTCTTTTTATGACTCTTCATGCGTTGGATGACGATCTCACTCACAAGAAGATTGGTTCCGTAGAAACTGTTATCATCCTTGAATTAGGCTTCGTAATATTGAATTGCTTATTTTAAAACTTGGCTGGATATCCATTCCAATTAAGCAGGTCAAGCATAGTAGCGAACTCTTTCTGTATATGATCATGAGAGTAAATGGCTATGGCACGATATGCTAAGTATTTCATCAGGTTCCGGTTGTATTAGAGAGGTGTTGCAGTAAAGAAGTAGGACGATGCAGACTAAGTGGTTGGGGTCCACGGGACAAGAGGAACCAGTAGTTGGAGACCCTAGGTGATATGGCTCAGAACCGATGTGAGTGGCGCAGATGTATACACACATTATCCTCATCTTAACAACGCTATACCGAATCTCACCATTTTGTCACTCCTCTTTCCTTTCTTCTCATACTTTATATTTCTTTTGACTGCATTCACTTATCTTCATCCTTCACCTCACTACCTTTTTACTTGATGTGCTGATATGAGGTGTGGCAAGTGGGACCGTGAGGCAGTAATGCCTGGTCCTATGTTGATAATGATGATGATGAAAGAAGTGCATTTATTGATTTGCTGATGTTGGCTTTCTATATATGCTTCATTTTAGAGTTCCATTCAACCTTGTTGACAGTAAAACGTCTAGAAATGGAATACTATCACTTCATTTTTCTTCTGTTATAAATATAATTACCGGATAAACACTATTTGAACCTATCAAAAACAATATTCTTATTAAAGTCACTCTCATTTTTGAGAACTACAAAGGTATCATCATCTATGTGACAACAATGTAAATTCTAATTGTTTCTTTTAGAGGATCATTTTGTAAGTTTACCAGAAAAAAGTCTGTTAATGCTGAACCAAGGAGTGATTTCATAGTTATACTATCAGAATGCCTATTTGAAGAGGAATTCACATTCATTGTACACCTCAAAAGTAGTTGTTTAAAGATGAAGACAAGAAAATCTATTCCTATGGTATACCTAAGTCATTGTGAATAAATTCTCCTGTTTTCATTTAAAAGAATGTTAGTAAACAGAGACAAGACATTACACGATAGCATAAACTTATCATCTACTTTCAAGTGGACACTAGTAAAGAATTTAAAATTATTTATCGTATGCCAATTACTTTATATATTTAGTGTGACGAATAGCCTTGTAAATCATCATCATCATTATCAACATAGGACCAGGCATTACTGCGTAACGGTCCAACTTGTCACACCTCATATCAGCACATCAAGTAAAAAGGTAGTGAGGCGAAGGATGAAGATAAGTGAATGCAGTCAAAAGAAATATGAAGTATGAGAAGAAAGGAAAGAGGAGTGACAAAATGGTGAGATTCGGTATTGCGTTGTTAAGATGAGGATAATGTGTGTATACATCTGCGCCACTCACATCGGTTCTGAGCCATATCACCCAGGGTCTCCAACCACTTTTTCCTCTTGTCCTGTGGACCCCAACCACCTAGTCTGCATCGCCCCTCTACATGGCTTAAACCAACAGTCAGAGACTTCATACATTGTTGCCATGTTTTAGTCTGGCCACCTCGAGCCTTTTTCCAGCTTGGACCCACCTCAGCCAACATTGTGTGACAAGGCAATCGGTGACTAGGCATACGTAGTAGGTGTCCCAACCATCTCAGTCGATGAAAGTTCACAACCTCGTCAACTGACTTACCTCTTCTCCCCAAAACTCTACACTTGACTTCTGCATTACTCACATGGTGACACCACGGAATACGTCCTATACTGCGAAGGCAGGCAACGGTGGTCAAACACCTGAAGCCTTTTTGTATCCTCCACTTTCAATGGCCATGTTTCACAGCCATACAGTAGAACAGACGGACTGCTGTGCAGTACACGCGACCCTTAATAGACAAACGAATATCACGGCGGCGCCATAGGTGGCGCGAATTGGCAAAAGCCAATCGAGCCTTTTGTATCCGTGTACAGATTTCATCGCCAACGAACCCACCAGGGTTGATCCTACTTTCCAGGTAAGTGAAGTGGTCAACACACTCAAGCACTTCACTCTCTATTGTTAGCAGTGGTGGGGCACGGTTGAAGACCAGTCCTGGAGCAAAAATTTGCATTTGGGTGGTGAAAATCGCATCCCAAACATTCTCAAATTCCCACTCAAAGTGTTCAGAAGACTCTGCATCTCATCAGTCAGCGTCTTCACCTAACAGGACTTTGTCATGTCATCTGCATATTCTAGATCTAAAGAAAATTCACCTGTGATTGGGTCAACGTCTGTGTAATTAGGTGACGAGAGGGAAACCTCCATAAGAATATCTATGATAAAATTAAATAAGAATGGGGATAGTGGGCATCCTTGACGGACACCACTTGATGAGTATAGCTCCCTGGACAACTCACCATAGGCTCTAACATGAGCCTTGTAAATAAACTTGACTGTTGGATTGTATTATTATTATTATTATTATGGGCCGTTGAATTCCGATTCCGTGGCTCAGTAGTTAACGCGTGCGCCGTGAAGCTTTAAGGTACTGAGTTTGATCTCTGATAGGGTTGTGGGTAGGCACTGGTGATGAAGTGTCCTACTGTAGGATGAATGAAGCAGCTTTTCAATGATTTTCCAACTGATATCAATCCATAATGAATACTAACTTATTGTCATTATTATTAGTATCAGTCAACGGGATGACTATTATTACTGACTGTTTGTATACTTGACAGTTATTTTTTATAAACTTTTTTCTCCTTCTAGGACTGTATTGTAATTTATCAGAACGTTGTTGGTCTAGTGATAGCCAATGTATTCTAGTTTCATCATCTTGGGGATTTGAAAAGATTGGACTTATTATTTCAGTGACTGAATCTATTCAACAATGTAAACCAGTTATATATAAACTGCCTAAATTGAAATTAACATCTGAACAAAATGAATCTTCATTAACAGTTTTAGATGTTTATGAGGATATTTTAATGGGTTGTATCAGTTCTCCTAGTCATCCGCATCATATAGCTGTATTGAATTTAAAGAATATTAATTACACCAATTTATTAGGTGTTAATGAGGATCTTAATCAACGTCCGTAAGTATCATACAAATTTGTTTTATCTTTCCAATCAGTTAAACTGTTAATTGAATTCAAACCAATATCATTTAAAGGAATAGTTTGTTAGTCTATTCAACTAACCTTTTAAACATGAAACTATGTCTTATTGATTTAAATGTTCATTTTCTGGTTATGTAGACACTAGTTTAAACACTATATATTCACCTACCAAAACGTTCAAGTTTTGATATGGGATTGTATACTCAGCAACCACATGGACTTCTGTGCAGTAGACAATAAACTACACCTGACACATGATAGTTACCTTGGTAGTGTGTGTGTGTATGCGGGGGGGGGATTGAAGTTCGAACTCATCGTAGTCCACTGGTTGGAAGTTGAGTTCTCACACCAATAAGCCACAGCGCTGTTGATTAAGGTCCATCTAGACAACTTTTGGTTACATACTCTTAGTGTAACATCTGGAAATGGATATATATCACAAGCAGCTTATGTGACACCCTAGTTCTCTTTACTCGCAAAGTCTGAAAACATGAACTAAAAAAAGAGGTATGTTGATTTGTCTGTCTGTTGTCAGACTAAAGTTTATTAGACCTTTAAAGGTGACCTCCGGTTTCTGAATTATCTCAGTAACTTGTTGAAGTTGTTCGCAGCATATATTACAATGAAATGGTAAAATTTATTATCGAAATCTTCAATAGGCAATAAACCACGCCTATTGTTTGAAGGCTAATGACACTACTTGGCTGCTCGAACTTCGGTAGGTGATGTGGTGTTCGAACCCGTGACCTACTGGTTGAAAGTCAGTTTCGTAGACCAATGACCCGGAGCTCCACAGGGGAAAGCATTAGCACCTCGTGACATTTTGTTTATTGGGTAGTTTTGATTTATGTTCTTCAGATGTACTTCACATGTTTGGAGATAAGTTTTGGTAGATTCCTAATTATTGTATTATAAGTTTGTTGGTAAAATTAACAAATTCAACAACTTTACCAAACCATTCAATTGGTAGTGGCGACAAGGGTGTATACAAAGAGCATGCACGTAATCAGCGCAAGCTTATGACTTAGACTTACTAGAAATTTCTCGTTCACAGGGAATAATTGCAAGCTCCGATCCCAGTCATTACGGTGATGAAACAGTTTGCCAAACCCTTTTTCGCCAGGTTTTCAGGCTCTCTGGCACTGTCATTGTAGCGCATATGTAGCCCCAGGCATCTGAGTTCATCACAGACTTGTTATTTGTTAATTTTTTACTAATTAAGTGTACCGCTTATCCCTGACACCGTACCCACCGGAACATGAGCGCACCACTCCATAGAGAAGCAGTAGAGGCTGTGCCCTGAACAAGCACACTGGACCAGTTTGCTATTTAGTAGATTAAAGTCTCGTTCGTTATTGGAGTTGACCAGAAAAATCTCCCCATCAGTTAAGAACAGTCATGCACCACCATCCCCCGAATCAAGAAAGAGTCTTCAATTTTTCAATCCTCACATTGTCCGGACCGGCCTAGTTTTCTCATGTTGAACCGAATTAAACCACAGGCCCCACTCCCTGTGGTGCCCTTCCGTCAATTCTTTTGAGTTAAAGCTTTGAAACCATGCTCCCCCCGGAACCCGAGGACCCAAAGGTTTTCCGGTGCACTGTCCATGATGTCAATTAAAGAACCATTACTAATCATCATTTGGCATCATTAATGGTCCAGACTACGACGGTATTTGATCATTTTCGAAACTCTAAATTTCGCTCCTGATGAATGTAAACACTCTTAGGGAATGCTTTTATTGTCGTTTTTCTGGTGGTCATCCCTCTTACATTAATAAGACTATTTTTGTAAAAACCTGCTCTGTGTATAAATCGACAATAAATTTTGTCATGGACTGACATTGTGTGGAAGGACATAGGAAACCTAGGAGCACTAAACAGCTGTTTCGTCCTAGTATGGGAACTCATCAGCCCCTAGGTTTCCTATTTTCGTCCAACTAATGTCAGTCCATGGTGAATGCCAACCTGAAATCGATAAATCCCCACAAAACCTCCAAATTGAATAAATTTTGTATCTAATCTGATCCACTTTCTCGGTGACCACTCGCGGTTGTCTACACCAGGTAATGAGTCATTCCTGTTCTGAAATGGTTAATAATGGTACCTAACTGCTTAAGCCTTTATGTAGGGAGTTGAGTTTGAATTGTTGACCTATGGGTTGTAAATCGAGTGTGTCAACCAATGAATCATAACCTACTTTATATTTTATATTCAGTAGTCATCGAATAAATATGAACGTAGATGTTTCATTAAGTTTTAAACTGTATGCAAAGCTAGTATCGAAATGAGTATTGTTTGATGACCTTGAAACAAACAAGGTCAGTGTGTTAGTTAGGAACAACAAGGTATGTAAACCTAGTGTTAATGTATAACTTCCAGTTTATTCTGTGCAAGTTATCAAAAGTTCTTCTCATTCATGACTTGTCAACTAGATGTGCTCGGATCGCTGTGAATGATAATGCTCCTACTGAGACTCGAGCGCAACACCAATAAGAACCAATCACTCCATTTTCCAGTATAAGATAAACAATATGAGGATGGTTATTTTTTTATGCAGCATAAAATTATTTTTGTATTCTTAAACTGCTTTTTATAGTTTAAAGTAGCATGATGCTTTGTCTATAGACAGTTAATTGTAATTTTGAGTAATTAACAGAATATCATTTTGAAAATTGATCGGGATCCCTGAGACGAAATGAATTCATAGTTGAGAACACATGATGACATGGATGAAAATCGATCACAATTGCATAGATGTATTCACTTCTTGAATATTCACATTAACCTTTATCTTCAGGTTGTATATTCTCTCATACTACTTTGTCTACATACATTGATATCATTCGTTTTCTATCCATTTATTCGTTGTGTACTTCTGTGAAGTTTAGAAACTTAAACCGATGCACCTGCATGCGAGGTTTTACATTGATTTTGTTAGCCAGTCAGTCAATTTTGAAAAAATATACATCTGAGAAGCACAACTGACTAATATTCCAAGTGTTCACCATATTTTTTTGATTATAATTCACAGGTTCTTGTGAATAAGGAATTTTTTTTCCCATCTGAATTGTTACCATTCGTCACATAACCTTTTACTAATTATTTTCACAGATGGTTAATAGTTCCTTGTGGGACTGATTTAAAACAAACTTCTTCGCGCTCAATTAAAGGTATTCAATGGTCCATCCATCGAATGGAATGTGAAACTTTGAATCATGAATTATCTGATATAAATTCGTTTGAATATCTACTGATACATCCAAAACTTGAAAATGATTGTTCTATAAAACAAATAGATAGTAAGCTTTTTTTTGAAAAATTCATATTACTGTGTTCTGTTTCGTTTTTATTACTCTATGAGTTTGAGCTATCATGCATACAGAGTCATTAATTTTGGTATCAACATTTCAAGGAAATCAGATGATGATAATGATAAGAATGTCTAGACTGGTGTTGAAAGTTCTTCGTATGAAGACTGAAACTTGGAGAGCGCTAAAACCTGTGAGAGCATCCCTAATATGAGGTGCAAGTACTTACCATTGTTGAGTTTGAAGGTTTATGGGGATTTATTCATTGGTTTCAGGTTGATATTCGTTATGAACTGACTTCATTTGGAGAGAACCATTGAAAACCTGAGAGCAATGGACAGATGTTTCGTTCTAGTTTGGGTATCCTCAGCAGTGTGCACTCATGATCACGCCAGGAATCAATCTGAAATCAACAAATAAATTTTCATAAACCTCCAAATTGAATTAATCTAGTGCTCAATGATGACTAACTTCGAGAGGTGATTCCTGAGAAGTCATGAGAAGCCATGACCATTGGAGCCAATGAATTCGCGAATGAGGACAGTTACACAACGATGGTATTGGATGTAGGTCGCACTATATCATAAAGTGCCAGCAGTAGGAAATATGGAAGGTTGCATTCTGACTGAGTGGCTCAATGTTAACATGCTGATCGCGGAACCTGAAGGTCCTGAGTTCGATCCCTGGTGAGGTGATGAGTGCGTACTACTGAGGAGTCCCGTAGTGGGACGAAACAGCTATTCAGTGCTCTCAAGTTTCCAATTTTCCTCTAAGCGATGGATATCAACCTGAAATTTACCATTGTATTGGTGTTTTTTAAAAGCTTATTTTAGTATATGCTGACATTTTCAGGTATCCAGTATGAAGTATGAAGTTGACACAAATCCACTTTATAAGGTGTATTTTTACTTTTGTCATCTTGGTGTTATTGTATTAGAACAAATAACAAAATAAACCAATATTTTGTATTATTCCTCAACCTTTCTATCTTGCTAGGAAGATCCTTTTCAAAGGTATGAATCTGACATTAAGTTTTCAGGTTCAATATTGAAGTTTTGGTACTGAAGGTGACCTTTACGATCATCCAATTACATCGTGATATGGAACGAAGATCAGTGAAATGTAGGCGAGTGAATTAGCAAATCAGTCATAGAGGTTTTTTCCATTTGTACAGGTAAGGTGGGAAAAAAATACGGTAGAGGAATTCAGTTCAACTATGAAAAGTACAATAGAATTGTTAGTCACCCTTGATGACTTGAGGAGAATCTTCCTAGCAAGATAGAAACGTTGAGGGATAATCTAAAATATTTGTTTATTTTGTTATTTGTTCTAATATACAATACTGGGATTATACAAGTAAAAATAAACTGTACAGTGAATCATACTAAATTGGTGCTCAAGTTTTTTTCAAACCATCCAGTCCATTGTTCATCAGGATACGTTTCAACAATTCTGCTGATTGTCCATAAATGTGACTAATAAAGTAAGAAGTTACTTTATAGTCATATTTGTTGTATTGTTAATAACTGAAAGTTTTCAAGAGAAAACAATAATTTCGTTCGTTTACATCTTGGGATTAATTTGGATAAAGCAAAAAGAAAGAGATTTGTGAAGTAAAATCCTCCTCAGCTGCTACAGTTAGAAAGTTCCAGATCATTGTTGATTTTGGATAATGTAATTAGAAGACGTAGATTATCTGAAAAATGTGATATATTATTATTATTATTAGTCCCTTGAGTTCCTAGTGGAGCATAGGGCTTCAGTTGCACGCCTCCAGTGACCTCTGTTCTCTGAGATCTTTTGAACCTGGTCCCACGACAGCCCACAACCTCTCATTTCCTCCTCGCACGACCTCCTCCATGTCACCCTCGGACGTCCAACTCGTCGCTTCCCATGGGGATTCCACTCGAGGCCTGGCCTGACGCGTGATGTCCCCAGTCGGCCTTCTCAGTGCATGGCCAATCCATCTCCACTTCTTCCTGCATATTTGTTGCGTGATAGGTTCTTGGTTGGTTCGTTCCCAGAGTTCCTTGTTGCTTATTCTTTCTGGCCATCTGATCTCCAGTAGCGTAGGTGGCAGTTGTTGATGAATGTCTGTAGTTTATTGGAAATGCCTTTCGTGACGCGCCAAGTCTCTAAACCATACAAGAGCACTGACTTGACGTTGGTGTTGAAAATCCGTATCTTGTTCCGCATGCTGAGTGCAGAAGATCTCCACACTGGTTTCAGGCTAATGAACGCCTGTCTTGCTTTTGCGATTCTGACTTTGACGTCCTCGTCCGTCCCGCCTGTAGTTGAAACAGTGCTTCCTAGATAAGTGAAGGAGGTTACTTCCTTTAAGTTTCTCCCGTTGACGGTGATTGGAGTTTGTTGTTGTTGTTGATGGTGGTGGTGCGGTATCTTCATCACCTCTGTCTTCTCTATATTCACCTGAAGTCCCGTCTTAGCTGCCTCTTCTATCAACTTGTTAGTTTTTGCCTGCAGATCTTCAAGTTTATGTGACATTAGGCACAAGTCATCGTGCGAAATCCAAGTCTTCTAGGTTCTTTTCCGCAGTCCAGCTGTATCCCCCTCTTCTCGCTGCCTACTGTTTGCTGCATGATCCAGTCCACCACAATAAGGAATATCATGGGGGATAGTAGGCAACCTTGTTTCACTCTTGTCTTCACTTCAAAAGCATCACTGAGCTTTCCATTGTGAATTACTTGGCATGTGGCATCTTCATATAGTTGTTGAATGAGGCGGATAAAGGTTTGGGGTACTCCGTAGTATTGAAGCAGTTTCCAAATTACTTCTCTGTCGACCCTGTCAAAGGCCTTCTCAAAGTCGATGAAGTTGAGGCAGAGAGCTGATTGCCATTCTATGCTCTGTTCTATGATGATGTGTAGTGTAGTGTTGCAATTTGGTCTGCACATGATTTGTACTTCCTGAAGCCTGCCTGTTCCGGTCGCAGTTTTGAATCCAGTGCATCTTTAAGCCTCTCCAGGATGATGCGGCTTAATATTTTACTTGGGGTGGACAGGAGAGTGATTCCGCGCCAGTTCTTGCAAGCACTGAGGTCTCCTTTCTTCGGCAGTTTGACAAGGTAACCCTTCTTCCAATCGTCAGGTACCTTCTCTTCCTTCCACACCTTCTGCAATAGTGGTGTGAGCATGTCCGCTGTTGTCTCTGCATCTGTTCTCAGTGCTTCTGGCGGTATTCCATCTGGTCCTGCTGCTTTCCTGCATTTCAGTAGCTTTATGGCGTTCAGGACTTCCATTTTCGTTGGGGGATTAATGTTCACTTGTAATTCAGTGGCTGCAGGTGGTATTTCTGGACGAAGTGCAGGTGGTGGTGGTGTCGATTCAAGAGCTTCTTGAAGTGGTCGGCCCATCGTTTCCTCCGTTTCTCTTCTTTTGTAATTAAATTTCCGTCATCATCTTTTATTGGTTTCATCTGTGTTGGTCTCTTCCCTGATAGCAACCTGGTTATTTGATACAATGTCGTCAGGTCTCTCTTACCTGCAGCCTGTTCTGCTTCACTTGCCAGTGTTTCGTAGAAGTGTCTTTTGTCTTTGCGTGCACTCTTCTTCACTTCTTTATCCAGTGTTTTATACATTGTGCTCAGTTCCTCTTGTCGTTGAGCATCCTTGCACTGGTTTATCTTCTGCTTCACCATCCTCCTCTCCTCTATCAGCTTCCAGGTATCCGTCGAGATCCATTCCTTGTCTTCTTTCTTCTTCCTTCCTAATACGGCTGTGCAGGTTTCTTTCCACATAGCTTTCAAAGACTTCCAGTCATCTTCCACACAGGTTTCTTCAGGGATGTTGCTCGATGTCTCCCATTTTGTCTTGATGGCTGCCTTGAAGATCTCCTTTGTAGTTTCATCCTTCAGTTTCCGAGTGTTGTACTTGAATTGAGGTCTATCACCAGCTTCCTTGAAGGCTTTTAACTTGATTTGAAAGGTTCCTTGCACTAGACAGTGGTCTGAACCTACATCTGCTCCTCTTCTTGACCTTGTGTTCAGTAGACTGCGTCTCCATTTTCTTGAGATTGAGATAAAGTCGATTTGATTTTTAGTGTGTCCTGGTGTCTGGTGAAATCCATGTCGCTTTGTGGATATCTTTGTGCCTGAACACACTGCCTCCAATCACCAAATCGTTGAATGCACAGAATTCTGCAAACAATTCTCCATTCTCATTCATTTCACCTAGCGCCTCTCGACCCATGGTTAGTTCTCTTCCCGTGTTGTCCCCTCCCAGTTTGGCATTCATGTCGCCCATCAGAATTTTGATATCGCCAACTGACGTCTTGTCCAGTGTTGATTGAAGTTGTCTGTAGAAATCCTCCTTTTTCTCTTGCTCTGCATTATTTGTAGGTGCATAACATTGTATGATTGTGACCTTCCTTCCTTTTGAGTTGAATCTCTTGCTGTCATGATCCTGATCCTGGAGGAGATTGGTTCCCACTGCATGAGAGCCTTCGATGCTCTTGAGGACATCATGATAGCCACTCCATAACTCAGTGTGCTCGTGGTTGGCGTCTGGGTGACAATATCGGAGTAGATTATTGATTCTCCAGTTGACAGTTTGGAGAGTCCACTCCCATTCCATCTGCTTTCGCAAATCCCAAGCACTTCGATGTGATACCTTCTCATCTCGTTTGCAATCTGGGCTGCCTTGCTGGGTTCAAACATCGTACGGACATTCCATGTCCCCACGTTTACTTTCGCTTTCATGGAGAGAAAGAAGACACATCGGCCAATTGGCTTCCCGAAGGCTTTCACCAACTGGCGTCATTTCGCCTCTCCGATTCCAGCGAGGAATAATTTTGTTTTCATTTTTTATATTTTGTTTGTGCTTTGAAGTTTCTTTAGCGGTTAGATTTGTTTTACGGAGTAGGGTTGCTAGCCGTATGCCCAACCTTCCCTCTTTACCCGGGCTTAGGACCGGCTAGTAACTAGTAAACTAGTTAACCAGGCTATACATTTCAAATAGTCTGATGCTCCACACATTTACTTGTTAAGGTGGTGTTATATATGAAAACTGGAAGTGAGGGAAGGACAAGTATGACATAAAGCAATTTATACTGGGTGAAGGTGGAATGAAAATCTGAACTGCGGCCGGATTCGAACCAGCGATCACTGGGTTTCTGGCCCGATGTTCCACCAACTGAGATATGAGATCCGACTGCTGAGAAGACTTTTATTTCATTTCACTCACCAAGGGTCTTAACCGACTACTACTACAAATAAGATGAAGATACCGAACCAACACCACCACCACCACCACCAACGACAAGCACCAATCACCATCAGCAGGAGAAACTTAAACGAAGTAGTCTCTTTCACCTTTCTAGGCGGCATCGTTTCAACTACAGGCAGTTGCGGCACAGACGAGAACGTCAAGGACAGGATCGGAAAAGCAAGACAGGCGTTCATTAACCTGAAACCAGTGTGTAGATCCACTTCACTGCACTCAGCATGTGTAACAACATCCGAATTTTCAACACCAATTCAGTCAAGTCAGTGCTTCTGTATAGTTCATAAACTTGGCGGGTTACGAAAAGCATTTCTAACAAACTAAAGACATTCATCAACAACTGCCACCTACGCTCACTCGTTACTGAAGACGGAGATCAGATGGCCAGAGGGAATAAGCAATAAGGAACTCTGGTCACACAACGAACCAACCAAAAACCGATCACTCAAAAAATATGCAGAAGGAGAAAGTGTAGATGGATTGGATTGGGCATACACTGAGAAGACCGACTGGGGACATCACACACCAGACCAGTCCGTCGAGTGGAACCCAGATGGGAAACGACGAGTTGGGCGTTTGAACTGAGGGTGACATGGAGGAGATGGTGTGAGGAAGGAATGAGAGCTTGTGGGTAGTCGTGGAGCCAGATTCAAAAGGTTGCAGAGAACAGAGTGCACACTGGAGATGTGCTACTGAAGCCCTATGTTCCACTAGGAACCCAAGGGACACATACTAATAATAGCTAGTGCTTCAGCTATGCATAAGTGGTGGAAACTTGGACCTTTGGAGTAGTTCAGTTTAACTTTGTAAAGAATGAATCTTGAGGTGCTGAATAACTTAACTCTACTAGGTGTTCACATATGGATGAAGTCGTTTTCCCTCGCTCACCTTTGGTAAGCCAAACGGAGTGATGTCCAGTAACACTTGTTCCTTATCTCACCACTTGTTATCAATTCATTTCCTTACTCAGTGATCCATTTTCTATTTCTTCCACTTGAACAAATCTCACCACAAACATTTATTGTATAGTTTTTGCATATTGACTGAATAACTATCATTTTATCTATTATAAATACGACTGTATACAACATGATAATGAAGTCGTTGAAAAGAAAGAAATATTTCTTCTTAGCTAATACATGTCTTATTCTTATTCATAATTAATTTCTGACGTTCTATGACCTTGAGGAAATCACTCCTATTCAGAGCATAAAACCTGTACACGTTATCGCAAGTTTAAATACTAAATGGAGACAAATCAAATCACAGTGTTCATATAAATGTCTGTAACAAATTGAGTACTTTAATTTTTTACATTTCCTTAGTATAGTAACTTTTATTGTTTTGGCCACAATACTCTCCTTCTTCATACATGTAATGATTGACCCCTTGTGTATTGTTGTTTCTTTCCTAAATCGATTAAACTGATTCATCTATAAGTAACCATATCAATAACAATGGATATGTTGTGGTAAAGATGGGTAATGGCCAACAGTGGAATCCCTACTTGGGACTCATCAGCTGTATGTACCTGCCTCCCAGTGAGTGATGTTGTCCACACCGGGATTATTCGGACTCGGGAGCGATCACTTCAAACGCCAGGGCGTTATCCACTACACCACCGAGCCACTATAGCCACCTCTTGTGCGACGGGTATAGTTTTAGTGGGAACAATATCACTCATTGGGAGGCAGGTACATCCAGCTGATGAGTCCCAAGTCGGGCCAAATGAGCATCCTGGATTCCACTGCTGGCCACTATCTATCTTTACCATAACTAGAACACAGGTATATCGAGGCATCCGCACAGGAACCCGTATGCCAACAGAAGCCGATCAATGCTGTCCAATCAACGACGGTATAATACAAGCAATAACACTAATGGACATGTTGATTTATTTAATTTAAATGTAAACCATGTTCATTTTATAAAAGTAAATGATAATATCCAGTTGTCCTAACCGAAGTTAATGCTCTTCAGCATTTAAACTATTATCGTATCATATTAATGATGGAAAGTGGCTAGCAGGGGAACCTAGAATGCGCGTTTCATCCTATTTGGGACTCGTTAGCTGGATGTACCTACCTCTCAGTGGACGTTGTTCCCAATAAGGCTCGAAAGAGATTACTATCATATCGTTAAAAGCAAAATCTTGTCGATTGTCCAAAGTATTTAAGCTGTTTTTGTTGATTAAATGACGTTTCCAAACGATATCCTTGAGAATACTTTTGTGCATGATATAGTATGACCGTCACTCAACTTGGTTAACCCCACATGCTGTCATCAAAAGTCTATGTCGAAGCATTGATTTCAGAGCTGACTGACATCACTTGGAGAACCATTGTAAACCTGGAAGTGCTGGATATCTGTTTCATTTTTACTATGGAACTCCTCAGCAGTATGTACTCATGACCCCTCCAGGGATCGAAACTTTGACCGTCAGGTCTCTCTGTGAGCACTTTTCCACAGAACCAACTGGGTTAAATTCGTCTACATTTGCCAGTTTGCTATATAGCCCAACTTTCATTCAACACTATCGTTGATTTATATAACTAGTACTTTTGAAGTTAAAATTATTGCTGCATTGTTTATAGAAGTTTCGTATAAGTTGAATGTTGAAAAAAGGCTTTATTTCATTGTCTATTTCAGTTTCTGATTTCACATTTGGTAAAGATATGTCTAAAATTATTGCAAATCGTCTACATGGTCTAATCGTAATACCACATGGTGGTCCACATACTCAATCAAATATTGCTTGGTCTTCAATGATAGCTAGCTTTTGTATTTGTGGATTTGCTTGTCTATTGATTAATTATCGTGGATCACTTGGTTATGGGAATGATTTCACTCGAGATTTACTTGGATTTATTGGTGATAAAGATGTATCTGATTGTGTTCAGGTAAGCATTTCTTAAAAGTTTGTTTTTTACAAGTTTAAAAAGCAGACAAACCTAGTGAACAGATTTGGGTGTCGCAGCTCAATTGATGAATAGGTGATCTAGACGTCACTGGTTCGAGTCCCATCATCTTCAATCATCACCTAGTACCAACTGATGGTTTCTTTTGAAGTTTTTATTGACATAGAGTGAATTATCTTCTTTTTAAACGTTATTGTTGTAGTATTGTAGTGGGCGTAGGTGATCAGAATGGATATCAGTAGTATATGTTGACGGGGCGGCAGAAATCATAGGGAATTACCAGTGATGGGTAAATAGTCTGTTCAGAGAAATGAAAGAGACAATGTGGGCGTATTAAGAGTAAATCATGACAGAAGCAGGAGAGGAAATAAAGTACACTATTCAAATGACTGTCTGAATAGGAAGAGTACAATATTTGATGATTATTGTACAAGATGTCAATAATAAACATTCCTTCGTACGTCTCAGTCTTCTCCTTTCCTTCATTTGGTGTCGTTGCTTCTGTACGTGATGCAGATTCCATAGTCTGCAGTGTTCGAGGATAGAGACATCAAGGTCTTTCGCAGGGACTCCGAGTCAGTCGCGGAGCTGCTGGGTGTCCGGGATCCAGGAGCGATGGTCGTAGTGCTTAACACGTTACTGAGGGGTAGAGCGAAAGCGGCACATGACGGCGTGAGACGTGTGGGTGAGTAAATAACTGGAGACAACAAGTCGATAACCTTCAGGATGAGGTGGCTGAACTTCGAATGAATATCAACAGACAGAGTGAATGCTTTGCATGCGGAAAACTGGGACACTGGTGGTCTTTCATCGATGTAATTAGTCGTAATATTTAATCTTATTTTAGACATCATATATTCTCTATTTTGCCAAATTTCCTGTTCAGGGGTTAAGATGAAGATAATGAAATATACTACTAAACAACTCAGTCTGATGTGTAAATTTCTCCAGCCAACCTGATTACAATGATCTTAACACCGACCGAATAGTCGATCCACTGGTTTGATGCCGAGCTGATCGGCAGTGTATCTGGACAGATTCAGTTTATACTCAAATTGTTCAGATCATCTGAATTTGACTAGATGACCTGTATGGATTGACATATCTTAAATAGGATGATCAATCTGCGAATTGCACGGTCCAAATTAACATTTGTCATAGCTGCTGAGTAGTTTTCTCAACTGGTCAACTGTGATATCAACAGGATTTTCATTGGAAACTACTCATCGGGCAAAATCACGAGATGTGATTTGTGATACAAGTATCGTGAAACCATTCAACTAGATCAGTAATGTGAAGGCTATTGATCAATTTCTCATCATGGATTAGATTCTTCTTCTGACTATTACCGTTTCACATAGTTTAATCAATAATCATCTCTATCTTCAATGAAAACTTTGGAAAAGATTATTCTTTGTAAGTAGCTTACATTTTTAATTTTTTTGCATTTCTAGTTGATAAATAACATTTTCATCTCCCACTTCCTTTTAGGCTACTAAATCTGCCCTGAATTATCTTAGGAAATATGAATCTAATCTTAAAGCAGTTTTATATGGAGGTTCTCATGGTGGCTTTCTAAGTTTACATCTAGCTGCACGATATAATAATCTATACAGTGTAGCTGTAACACGTAATCCAGTCACTAATTTAGTCAGTATGATTGATACAACTGATATACCTGATTGGTGTTACACTGAAACTGGTCTTACAGATTGGTGTGAATGGCCTCTTCATCGTTTACCAAGTGACAGTGAATTGATTCGTCTATCAAATGTCTCTCCATTGAAATATTTAAATCAAACATGGTCTATACCATTATTGATGTTGTTAGGTGGTAAAGATCGTCGTGTTCCAAATAGTCAGGTTAGTATTTTAATTCTGAATTGTATGCTTAGATTAAATTCCTTATAAACTATATGATTATCATTTTGATTATCTGAGTGAGATAGCTGTGGTTTGGCAGACTTGTATTGGACGGCAGCGGGATTCGAAACAGCGACTACCGGGTTTCATTTCACCTTCAGTCATCACCCAGTATCAACTATGTGATTGTTTGTTATTGATAGGAGAGAGTAGCTAACATTAGAATCCAGGACGCATATTTCATCCTCTTCCGATACGACTGGTCGGTTGGATGCACCTACCTGCCTAAAACATTCTGAATATCAATTTTGTGAGACTGTGTTAGATGTTATGAACAGTGATTGCTGACTTGATTTATAAATTCTGTAGTTGTCAAGGTTTATTCGGCGGTCGTTCTGAGTAACTTGCATGTTGTTTAGAACGAATGAGAATCTTGCGGAACGATTCCTCAATATGATAGGCATCAAAAGGAGCTGAGACCCTGCATCATGGACTCATTATGGTTTTCTGTATAGCCAAAATCATGCACAATATCAAATTTCTATGGATCGCCAAATATTCATAAACCTGATAGTGGACTTTACAACGTGTCCAACATATGCATTATCTCAAGTTGTTATTCATCGCAGACTGACATCAGTTGGAGGGACAAAGAAAACCTAGGAGCACTGGACAGCTGTTTCGTCCTAGTATGGGATTCCTCAGCGGTGGGCACACACGACCCCGCCAGGGATCAAACCCACGACTTTCAGGTCCCGTGGCCAGCACGTTACCATTGATCCATTGGGTCAGAATCCAATGCTCCATATTTCCGACTTCTGTTAGCTCACGATATAGCGCAACCGCCACTCAATGTCATGGTTGAGTAACTGTCCTCATGACCATTGGTGACTAGCTTCGAGAGGTATTCCTGAAGTTCCAATGAGAAGTCGTGACCGGTGGGGGCAAAGCCTGATGGTCGTGAGGACAGTTACTCAACCATGACATTGGGTGGCGAATGCGCTATATCGTGAGCTAACAGAAGTTGGAAATATGGACCTTTGGATTCTGACCCAATGGCTCAATGGTAACGTGCTGGCCACGGGACCTGATGATCGCGAGTTCAGTCTGCGATGAATAACAATTTGAAATATTTCCAAATCTCTATAACACCCTCAAAATTCAGTATGCATTATCGAAATATTTCACATCATTACTCAAACCTCTCCAGCGTTCTGTTATCGGCTCTTATGGATTCTAATCAAAAATATTGAAACCATCTATAGCAGAGAATGAAACAATGGTAAGTTATAATGTTGTTTCAATGGATTGTAATATTCCAAACTGAAAAATGTTTAGATTTCATAGGTGAATTGCTTAAGTTGCTAACAGATAGATCTTATTTGAATCTCAACCTCAGTATATGTAACCACTCAAATTTTGTTTAAATTCAACACTTTTCACATTTAAGGGAAAATTATATAAGCAAACAATGGGTTCTCTCTGATATCCCCTATCATTGCAAACCTTTTCTTCATGTCTCACATTCAATCCATAATGTTGCCTAACATCATGAAACCGCATATGTAGAGGATAGATTTGAAATTTGTAAAAGAATAACCCTTAGAACTCGCTGGGAACCTATCCCGGAGAATCACAGAGCTCATCACGAATGAAGACCACAGATGAACCGAAGTAAGAAACATAGTAAATGTGCTACAACCCAATAACTACCCTGTAAATATCATTCAAAAGATTCACAAACATGAACACAGGAATCCAAGAGGAAAACCAAATAATGAGTCTTGGATTAGTAAAGTTGTTCTACTATTCCACCAAGGTGTAACAGAAGAACTACAAAGGATTTTAAGAGAACATCGAATTACAGCCGTCTACAAAACAACCAACACTCTTCGGAATGCTCTAGTCTAGTTAAAAGATAAAATTCCGTTTACCCTCACATGTAATTATGTCAACTATGATGCTTACTATATTGAGGAATTATTCCGCAAGATTCTCATTCGTGTTAAACAACATGCAAGTTACTCAGAACGACCGCCGAATAATCCTTGACAACTACAGAATTTATAAATCAAGTCAGCAATCACTGTTCATAACATCTAACACAGTCTCACAAAATTGATATTAAGAATGTTAAGGTAATTCAAAGAGGATTTTCAAACTATGAGGAATTGTGGATAGCTGAGGGATTTCATATTATGTTGGATCTCAATGAACTGAACAGTAAGGAAGGTGTAACTATCCAACCAACTTGAACAGTATATCCAAAGATGACAGATCACACACAAGGATTACAACAGAAGTACATCTGCGCAAGTTAGATGAATTCTTCAACCAAAATATTTTTCTCACTCATTCACATCACCTTGACCTTCGGGGTAAAAAAGGATAACAATGACATTTATTTCAAGTTGTCATTCATCATGAACTGACTGACATCAGTTGGTGGAACATTAGAAACCTGATGAATACCAAATTGAAATCAGTAAATCCCCACAACCCCCACGTTGAATTAATCTAGTGCTCATTGATGACTAGCTTCGAGAGGTGATTCCTGAAGTCCCAATGAGAAGGGGTGACCGGTAGAGTAAATCTGATGGACATGGGAACAAGTACTGAAGTATGAGATTGTGTGATGGTTGCGTTATGTCAGAAGTTGTAAATGTAGATTACTAGATTCCGACGGAGTTGGTGAATGGTAAGGTGATGGCTACGTAACGTGAAGGTTGTGGGTGGGCACTGCTGATGATGTCCATAGTAAGACGAAACAGTTGTTGAGTGCTCTCAGATTTCTAATGTTCTTCCAACTGATGTCAGTCCATAATGAAGTGCCAACGTGAAATCGACCAGTAAATTCCCACCAACTCCCAAATCAAATGACATTTATGCCTATATTATTATCTTGTATGGATAACGTGTTCTGATTTATCACCATTTACTATTTAAACATTTGATAACATGTACAGGCTTATTCATTCTTTGAAGAGGCGATATCCACAAGATTTGTAAAACGTTAGAAAATGTTTTATTTTTACTTCATTGGGATTTTACAAATTTTGTTCATTTCAAGTAATAAAGATGTGTCTTAACCATCCTGATAAGTAAGACCTTGATAAATTTGTTTATGTGTGCTCAAAACGTTTTTTACGGGGAAATCTTAGTCCCATAACCTGTATCAACGTTGATAGGTCCAGTTGATTTGGATAGTTCAATTTGTGAGAATCACTTATGCCTTCTGTTAGTTAACCAATACGATATCATTGAGATTACCTTATTTCTTCTGGAATAATAACTAGCCTACTGAATTTAAGGTTATCGCTCACTGACTGTACTAGTATTATGAATAGTCTCATCTAGAGGATCTTGAAGGGTGTATCACATAAGTGTTCATGTTAGCTACTCTTTCTAGAGATATCATTTTTATTCTCACAATACTGGTAAAGTATAGGTGATACTGTATCAAGAAAATAGCAAAGTTTTTCTTACTTTGTAATTTGTTTGGTTATGATAAGCAACAGAATCCAGGGGATATATTTCGTCCTATTCTGTATTCGTCAGTTGGTTATACTTGGATCGTAAAGACTTAAAACTCTTATCATTTGTTGCTTCAAAGTTTTCATATATCTCTTTGAAAGAGACCATATACAGTTTCATACACTAGACGATACGTCATGTATATATAACACGAAGGCTCATGATACTTTCTGACTGTATTGATGCTTCAACAGGTAGATTAACATTTGAACTTGTGCTCTACTAGTTGAAGTTCATCTTCTTAGATCATTGATTCTTGTTTCGAAAGAAAAGAATGTTTATCATAAATATTATCGATGCTAGTTTATACACATATTTTTCTTTTTCTTTTTATCATAATATTTTCTTTCTAGGGATTTACATTCTGTCGAAAGCTGAAATCATTATGCCCAAATATACCATGTGAAATTCTTTTTTATCCGTATGATTCACATCCATTAGATTCTCCAGCTTGTTCAACTGATATTTTTATCAATTCTTTAATATGGTTTTTAAAATATTTGAATAAATCAGAATTGGTTAAATATTGAGAATGGTTCAAAGGTCTTTCTAACCTGATTTGATCCTGATCTTGATATAGTGATGATAGTTTACAGTAGAGAATTTAGGATTCAATTAATGAAACTAGATAGATGTAGAACAAAATATTCAGAAAATCTTTGGAACAAACCTTTATCTAATTGAAAGAAAGATTATTTTTATGGTTATCTTTTTGTGTACTTTTGGTGTAATTTATAGTTTGCTTTTTGACTTCATTTCATTAATCTCAACTATTAATTATTTATATCATGTAACCAATCTGGTTTCAACACATTTTTATCAATAAAATAAAAGAAGTACTCAAGCATGCTTAACTTTTTTGTTTTTACTCATGGCATACCTTTTTTTTTTATGGGCAAAGCATCATAAGTTCGAACCTCTCTTCATTGACTAAAGTTCAAACATCTAAATGGTTTTATATTAATCTTGATGATTAGCAGAGGAATTGAGTACGCGCGTTTAGTCCTATTTATGACTCATCAACTGGATGTACTCGCGCCCTAATGGGTGATGTCTATGCTGCAGCTTGAACTCAGTATCCTTCGATTCAAACGCTCTGTATAGCAATAGGAAATCACAAGTTTCATTACAACAACTGACATCCGTTGCAAAAGAGGTTGTTGTTGTGCCCCAGTGGTTTAGTGGATAATACTCTCGCGTTTAAAGCGATACTGGGTTCTAGCCTCAGTGGGAACAACACTCACTGAGGTGTAGGTATATCTAGCTGACGAGTCCCAAATAGGATGAAACGCGTGTTCTGGTCTCCTCTGCTAGTCACTAAGATCAGTGTAGTATCATGAATATCTGAGAGTTTCGAGCCATCCTCATAGGAACCCATCTACCAACAGAAGTCGAGCAATTCGGCCCTGTATACCAACGGGAAGTTACAAGTATCATCACAACAACTAAATCATATCTTAATGCATAAACGTATGTATGGGGTTAATGGTTACGTGTTAGGTTTTTATCACTTCATAGATATCCTTAGTTTATTTGCCCATAAACAAACATACACTGATGGATATGGAGATGACATTTGCTGTGCACAGTAAGGAATTCTTTCCACTCATGTGTACAATATTAGTTAGATTAGGATCAAGTTAAACAGAAACTTTTAGGTAATCAAACTGACTATTCATCCAGGTTTTATAGGCAGAGTATATGTTGCCTTGTTTGGAGTACTCAACAGATTAGAAATCAGCGGCGGGAAATTCACTGGGTATCATATATGATGCAAATTTGTATTCATCCACCATCTTTGAAATTCTGAACATTTTGAAATAGTGGAGAATATATGTCTAGCTCAGGTGGATGGTCTTGGTTGTATTGTGTTATCTTAGCTGAGTTGTTTAATCGTGTTCAATTGTACCATTTGTCTTCCACTTTGTTCGCCTATTTTCCATCCCATTGGGAAGTTAATCGGTGGTCGATTAAACAACCCAACTCAGAGAACACAATACAACCAAAAAAAATTTTGAACATCTTAAAATTCTTCATTTGATATGAATATCACTTTTCCTCCTCCTTCTCCATAACTTTTGAAAGGTGCAGTAACTTGAAACATTGGACTTTTGTGTAACGGATTCTACAGCCACTTGACGTGTCTACTCATTTGTGGGGATATTTTTATATGATGAGGATTTTTAAAAATAATTTTTATGACTTTATTATCCTTTCAATTCTAGTTTTAATATGAGCAATATTGATAGTTATTTTCGAGATTTTCTGGATAATGAAGATGGTGAAAAGGAGCAGAATGGTAAATCTGTAAGTTTTAACTCCACAAATATGATATATATGTGCAAGATTTCAAATAATTGATTAAGTGTATTCGTCTTTTCTCTTAGTTGTCCTTCCATCAGCTTTAAACGGATCATGTCCAGTCTTCATTTCACTGTGTACTCGGACTCATGCAGCCATGTTAAGGGTTTATAGAGAGTTGTCACCAGGACTGATGACAATTAGCTGTATGTGCCAGGGATACCCACTGTCGCTGTTCCTGTTCAACTTTGTTACAGAAGTACTAATGAATATAACCTTAGATGACTGACTTTAAAGTGATTCATCTATACCTTATAAGTCATTTGGTCGACTTGGAGTATGCACACGATATTGTCCTGCTGGATGAAGACGCTGACAAAATGCTGGGTCTTCTGAACGCATTGAACGGAAATCTGTGTATATTTAGCAAATATGCGTTTCTCGGGCAGCTGTCAAATGTAAGATGACGCAAGTACTGTCAGCTTAATGATAGGGAGTGACGTGGTGGAATGTATCTACTACTTCATTCACTTAGGGAGTTGCATCAGGCCGCGCAGGCTGGTTACTGATGAAATCTCAGCTATGGTGTAGAAGGCCCGTCTGACATTTGGCAACTTGCATCACCTGTTGCACCGACTGACAAGATATCCGACTACCTATCAAATGACGAGTATACTACGCAGCAGTCCTTTCTGTTCTGTAATATGGCTGTGAGACGGCCATTAAAAGTAGAAGACATGAAGCGATCGCGGTGTTTTGATCATAGATGTCTTCGTAGTATTGTTTGCGTTTGGTGGAATCACCGTGTGAGCAGTGTTGAGGCCAGACCGAGAGTGCTAGGCAAGACAGGCCTGCAGGTCGATTGGTTGAGGTTATAAACCTTAGTCAACTGAGGTGGCTTGGACATGTGTTGCACATGTCAAGCCACCACCTACCTCGATGTGCCATGTTGGGAGAAGTTGAACTAGGACGAGACCAAGACATGGTACCAGTCGATAAAATCCATGACTTGGTCTGAGGCGTATGGGGAGATAGTGAGTACTTGGCTGGGGTTCCAGAGACAACAATAATTAGTGTTTGAGTGCTCTTGGTGACCTAACTGGAAATCGGTCACAATGGTGCAGATGTATTTACTCCTCAGCGTTTTCTAAAGCTTGAATGTCTATACTAATCTTTATGTTTGGATTGGGTTGGTGTTAAGACTTCCTGCCTTCTGCTCCTAACTAGCCAATACGGCGTGTTCTAAAGTGTCGGTGTTGTCGGAATGCAAGTCATTCATACTAGAAGTGCTTTCAAAAGATCTTTTGTATTTGTATTATTGTTGAGCTTATTTCTCACTGTATTATATGTAAAGATGATTAGTCGGCGAACAGAATAGCTTGATAATGTTTTATCAAGAGTGTAATAGATTCTTAGTAAAATTACCTTCATCTACATAGTATTCTTATCCAGTTTTGCAATGAATAACTATATGTTTTCTGCATTCATATTTTCTGTCGTGTATTGGTCTATTATGTTATTGTGATGGTGGGATCGTGTTACTTCGTAGGTATGTAGTTCATCCGTATCATATGATCAAGAATCGTTACAAGCCTCAAGTTTAAATTAATAATCAGCCATCAGCATCAATTCCATGAAGTCATATTGAATAGTTCTTGTTGAATCAAAGAGACTGTAGCTCATTGATCTAGATACTTAGCCTCTCCATCTATTAAAGTCTGGGTATTATTATTTTTTTTATAATTTGTCCCTTGGGTTCCTAGTGAAACATAGGGCTTCAGTAGCACATCTCCATTCCACTCCGTTCTCTCCAATCTTTTGAACCTCGCTCCACGACTACACACAAACTCTCACTTCTTACTCACATCATCTCCTCCACGTCACCCTCAGTTCAGACGCCCAACTCGCCGTCTCCCATCTGGGTTCCACTCGAAGGCCCAACCTGGCGCATGATGTCTTCGAATAGTCTTCTCAGTGTATGCCCAATCCAATCCATCTACACTTTCGCCTTCTGCATATTCATTGTGTGATAGGTTCTCGGTTGGTTCGTTGTGTGACCAGAGTTTCTTGTTGCTTATTCTTATTATTCTGGCCATCTGATGTGAGCTTCAGTATCGAGTGAGCGTAGGTGGTAGTTGTTGATGAGTGTCTGTAGTTTGTTGGAAATGCTTTTTGTAACGCACCAAGTCTCTGAGCCATGTAGGAGCATTGACTTACTTGACATTAGTGTTGAAAATCCAGATGTTGTTGAGGCTTTATGCTGAGTGGAGTGAAGTAGATCTCCACACTGATTTCAGGTTAGTGAAGGCTTGTCTTGTTGTCTTTCCGATCCTGGTTTTGACATCGTCATGTGTGCCGCAGCCGCCTGTAGTTGAAACGATGCTGTCTAGATAGGTGATAATATCATTGATCTCCAACACACTAGGTGTGGTTCATTGTGTACTGTATGAATGTAAACATAGTTATTGAAGGAATCTCAATTGTCACTCGAATCAGATAGCTTATAATTACAATGGTAATATTTTTTTGCGATCAAGCAGCATATTGACATACATTTCTTTTTGTTATAATTTTTATTTAATTAGTTACAGGATATGAGATCTGGTGTAATATTTCTAATTGATTGTACACCTACAATGTTTGGATTACATGGTTCATTCAATAATGATACAATGAATGTTGTATCAGTAGCAAGGAATGGATTCGATTTAAGCTTATTGTGTTGTCAAACATATCAACAAAATAAAGCACTTCATAGTCCTTTTGATATGATTGGATTGGTATTAATGCGTACTGTAAGTTGATTATACACAAAATGATACATGTTTTAAAACAAAAGAGGTTTAGCTAAAAGTCACTCTACTCAACAATATCATTCTCAACCTAGTACAATCACTTGTGTAAATATTCTATTCACATGAAGTAACAGAAAAGGAATGATTCATGAACGAAGTTCACATTTGACTATATAAATTAGGAAATTGGGAAGAAAAAGGAATTCCGTAATATTTGGAATAGTAATGAGAAGAAGATTTATCAAGACAGAACTAATATTTAGTTATGATTTGATTATCTAAGATAGCCATAGTTTGACAGACTAGTATTTGTACTGGGTGATGATCGTAGGGCCGGTAACCCGTTGGTCACTGGTTCGAATCTGGCCGCGGTCCAGATTTTCATCTCACCTTCAATCATCACCCAGTACTAATACTAGTCTGCCAAACTACGGCTATCTTAGATAATCAAATCATAATATGATGTTCCCCTCTCTGATTCAGTTAGATTTGCATCAGGATGAGAAGTTCTGACTATGCAGTCAGTGTAAATACGATCAAGCGGTAGTAATGCGTTACGAATTCATATAGTAGTTGGGGCAAAAACCCTTGGTGATTGAAGTGAAATAAAATTCTGGTCAGCAGTCGGACTTCGTAGCTCAGTTGGTAGAGCACCGGGCCAGCAACCTCGTGGTCGCTAGTTGGAATCTGACCGCTGTTCAGATTTTCATCTCACCTTCAATCATCACCCAGTACTAATACTTAGTTATTGAGTTAGATGATGTAATGTGGTGAAGGCAAAGAGAAATCAGAATTATAGAAGTGGAGGAATGTAATGTATGAGATCTTGAAGGTGAGAATATTCGTATAGGTTATGTTCATTGCAATTCAAGTGACTGGAAAGATTTCTTTTGAATGCATACTTCAGGCTTGAAAATTATAATTGCATTGGCTTCCGTAGTTTGAAAAAGTTTTAGGCGTATGTTTTTCACATGATTTGTACAAAGTTTATAAATGACACTGGAGTTGTTTTCTGGATTTACTGAGTAGTCATAATCGATCAAATGTTCTAAAATAGAGCTGTAAAGTGTCCTTCTTACTACTTTGTGAAATCAGGTTAGTATATGTTTAGAAATGCATTTAGAAAGCGAACACTGGGTACGGGCAACTTCACAGGAGCAGGTGAATTGATAAACACACAACGAGGTAGCTCAGCCTTTACGCATAATCGAAGCATTGGGTGGATGGAGAAAGTTAATCTGGTAAACGCAGAAAACAACCTCAGTGTTATCATTAGAGATCAGGCAAATCTCATGAAAGGTTTACGCCTTGAACGTCTTTTAACTACGGAAGCCACAGCAATTAATATTTTGAAACTTGAAGTCTGCGTTCAAAAGAAATTCGTCCAGTCACTTGAATTGCAATGGATATAAACTATAAAAATATTCTCACCTTCAAGATCTTCTCCTCTTCCTCAACTTCTATAATTCTGATTTCTCTTTACATCCAACGTGTTACATCATTTAACTCAATAACTAAATATTGGTTCTGTCTTGATAAATCTTCTTCTCATTACTATTCCAAATATTACGGAATTCCTTTTTCTTCCCAATTTCCTAATTTATATAGTCAAATGTGAACTTCGTTCATGAATCATTCCTTTTCTGTTACTTCATGTGAATAGAATATTTACACAAGTGATTGTACTTAGGTTGAGAATGATATTGTTGAGTAGAGTGACTTTTAGCTAAACCTCTTTCGTTTAATGACTTCATGAAGATTTTTAATCTACTGATACATCTTTATTAAGTTATTTTTGTTATCGAAACCAGTTACTTTTTTCAGTATGATACATCATTTTTTTAAATTATTCTCTGCTAAGTGCTAGCTTTCGACAGCGTCGACTGAGAAGTATTTGGCAGTTGCTTCAATACCGTGAATTTAGTGCCAGAAACCTATATCAACCTCATTCAAAAGCTATATGAAGACGCCACATGCCAAGTGATCCACAATGGAAAGCACAGTGATACACTTGAAGTGAAGATAGGAGTAAGACAATATTGCCGTCTACTATCACCGATGATCTTCCTGATTGTGGTGGGCTGGATTAGATCATGCAGCAAACTGTGAGGAGCGAGACGATTAGCATACGCTGTTTGACTGATTGGAAGACCTTAGAGGATTTCGACTGATTTATGTCTATCTTGTTGCACAAACTCAAAGATGTACAGGCGAAAACTAACAAGTTAACAGAAGAGGTGAGGCAGCGAAAACGCGACTTCAAGTGAATCTAGAGAAGACGGAGGTGATGAAGATATCCGAAGAACAACAGCATGAACAACAAGCACCAATCACCATGAATGGGAGAAACCTAAAGGATGTAGTCTCTATCACCACCTACCTAGGCAGGCAGCATCGTTCCAACTGCTACAGGCAGTTGCGGCACACATGACGATGTCAAAACCACGATAGGAAAGACAACAAGACAAGCCTTCACTAACCTGAAATCAGTGTGGAGATCTACTTCACTCCACTCAGCATAAAGCCTCAATAACATCTGGATTTCCAACACTAATGTCAAGTAAGTCAATGCTCCTACATGGCTCAGAGACTTAGTGCGTTACAAAAAGCATTTCCAACAAACTACAGACACTCATCAACAACTACCACCTACGCTCACTCGATACTGAAGCTCACATCAGATGGCCAGAATAATAAGAATAAGCAACAAGAAACTCTGGTCACACAACGAACCAACCGACAACCTATCACACAATGAATATGCAGAAGGCGAAAGTGTAGATGGATTGGATTGGGCATACACTGAGAAGACTATTCGGGGACATCACACGCCAAGCTACGCCCTCAAGTGGAATCCAAATGGGAAACGACAAGTTGGGCACATATATTTAAGCTTAATATTGCGTTTTCTTTAGGCCTACAATACAAAACTATTATCCCCTCCTAAAGAAATCGTTTATATTTCATTATGATAAAGTATAGGAAAGGACAAAACAAACACAGAAAGTAAACCTACCAAGTGACAAAAAGACTTTGACATGCCCATAATGCTTCATGTAGAGGAAAGTTTATATTAGGCTGATCGACAATAGTACCAAAGCGTTGTTGCAATTCATCTGGTTCTAATTGTCTCAATTGTTCAATCTCTAGAATACGCGCAGAACTAGCTAAGCCTAAACGCTGAAATGTAAATATTTTTTGGAAGTTGAGTTGAAAGACATTCAATAATCTAGTCCCACCAATAATAAATCAGAACTGATAATCATAAATTATCATTTTGATTAACTGAGATTACCATAGTTTGACAGACTTGTATTATTGATACCGGGTGATGATTGAAAGTGAAATAAAAATTTGAACAGTGGCTAGATTTAAACCAGTGACTACCCATTACACTTGGATTGGGATAAGAAGTCCTAACTTGGCAACCAATGCATGATCAAGTGGTAGTAAAGCGGTACAAATTCATATGATAGTCAAGTAAAACCCTATGTGATTGAAATAAAATAAAAATCTGGTTAGCAATCAGACCTCGTAGGTCAGTTGATAGAGCATTGGGTCGCAAAACCGATGGTCGCTGGTTCGAATCCGACCACAGTTCAGATTTTCATTTCATCTTCAATTAACACCTAGTATTGATGAATATAAGTGTATAAATATGGTAAATGATAATTAACAATGAAGAAACAACACGATTAACACATTGGATATCAACCAAACTAAAAATAAAAACTCTGAATTGAATATTAATCAACACTATATGTTCAGAAATATATCTAAAAGAAAGTGATTGTGTTAAGCATGATAAAATGAAAAATATTTGTAATGTAAGAGTCGAATTGGTCACTGTGGTACGATGTTAGTTGATTTATTAGATATCATCAGAAACGTGGTCAAATAACAACAGCCGCGTCATTTATATTCACTAGTTAAATTACGCTTGTTGAAGTCAATAAGCACATTGTGTCACAGTGTTTATGTACACAGGTTTAGTTTTACACTGAAAAATGAGGATACAATGTGAATAATTTTACATCAGGCCACATGAGAGATGAGGCGTAGGAATGCAGAGGAGATTACGCTGCGTTTAAGAATTTGCTGGTAGATCGCTAATTTCATTATTACCTAACTGAGTACTAGCAAACAAACAGTTGCGGGAAAGGTTTCTTACGAAGACCCATGGATCAAAGTCAGTCTTTATTGAAACACCATTCAAGTCTATAAATATATTGATGTGACGAGACAGTATAAATACTTGAGAAATCAAGGTAAACCGAACCACCAGTTATGTGACTATGTATTAGTAGGTGAGGTTGAATAATGAATGTAATGGGTAAATTGGTTTGTTTTCTAACTACTTTTTGATCTATAATTCCACTAGTCTGATCTGCTAAAGGTGTATTTCTCGTGTTGTGAAGTGATATCAGTTGGGAATTACTCATTAAATGCCGACACAGTGCTATATTTCTCATCATCTTTACATTTTTTTAAATATGAAGTACAAGCATCTACACACTTCCCAGACTTTACGAATAACTTGGCATACCCCTAAGCTATTAAACTTGAATAGAAAATGGCAAGTGATATCATTTGATGCCTACCTGTTTTAACTTTCAAAACGAGCTAAAGTTTTGCATCCAATACGCATTCTAATGGAGCATTTTTTTTTCCACACAGCAGCTTTTTGTAGAAAGCCAGAAACAACACAAGAACCAGTAATAGTGTCCAACGGTTTAAGTTACCATACCTCATACGATTACATCAAGCGATTTATTAGATATACCACACAATGTATAATTTACTGGATTACGTTTCGGACACACTTAGACTTCATCATCATCTCATTTTATGTCAGTTAAAGTTGGTTGAATAACAGAACAAACAAACTCACTAGTAAGACAAGAAAACAGACTCATTAAGAACACCTTGCTCATTAATAATTACCCGCCTAAATCTATCAGTTCATCTAATTAGTAAGATCCTTGGTAATTGCAAGAACCTCATTCAACAACTAACTATATGAAGACGCCACATGCCAAGTAGTTAATAACGGACAGCTCAGCTCAGTGATGCCTTTGAAGTGAAGACAGGAGTAAAACAAGGCTGTCCACTATCACCCATGATATTCCTGATTGTAGCGGATTGGACTGGATCAGTGAAGAGCGAGAAGAGTGTGATACGCTGGACCGTAGAAAAAATCCAAGAAGATTTGGATTTCGCTGATGACTTGTGTCTGATGTCATACAAACTTGAAAATCTACAGGCAAAATCCAACAAGTTGACAGGAGAGGTGAGGCAGCGAAAACGCGACTTCAAGTGAATCTAGAGAAGACGGAGGTGATGAAGATACCCAACAAACAACACCACCACCATCAACAACAAGCTCCAATCACCATGAATGGGAGAAACCTAAAGGATGTAGTCTCTATCACCATCTACCTAGGCAAGCAGCATCGTTCCAACTGCTACAGGTAATTGAGGCACAGATGACGATGTCAAAACCAGGATCGGAAAGACAACAAGACAAGCCCTCATCAATGTGAAATCAGTGTGGAGATCTACTCCACTCCACTCAGCATAAAGCCTCAACAACATCTGGATTTTCAACACTAATGTCAAGTAAGTCAGTGCTCCTACATGGCTCAGAGACTTGGTGTGTTACAAAAAGCATTTCCAACAAACTACAGACACTCATCAACAACTACCACCTACGCTCACTCGATACTGAAGCTCACATCAGATGGCCAGAATAATAAGAATAAGCAACAAGAAACTCTGGTCACACAACGAACCAACCGAGAACCTATCACACAATGAATATGCAGAAGGCGAAAGTGTAGATGGATTGGATTGGGCATACACTGAGAAGACTATTCGAAGACATCATGCGCCAGGTTGGGCCTTCGAGTGGAACCCAGATGGGAGACGGCGAGTTGGGCGTCTGAACTGAGGGTGACGTGGAGGAGATGATGTGAGTAAGAAGTGAGAGTTTGTGTGTAGTCGTGGAGCGAGGTTCAAAAGATTGGAGAGAACGGAGTGGAATGGAGATGTGCTACTGAAGCCCTATGTTTCACTAGGAACCCAAGGGACAATAATCATAAATGCTAAATGTTATAGCTGATGTGTTTAGTTTGTCGACCATCAAGAATATGTGTTCCAGATTTGAATCCCGCCTTATCTGATTTTTGCCGGGAAAACTATCACATATTAAGTTAGCATATCGCTTAATACATAAGTTTGTGTAGGGTGCCTAGTTTGCATTAACTAGTAATTTCTGTTCGTCATAGGTGATGTCTACAAATTTTAGGGATCAACTGCAAAAACATAGAGATTTATTCTACAACCTGCTAGTTGATCAGAATCTGTTGGAGGTAGGGTTCACGTTTAACATAAACAACATAAAAGGATAGATCTTATTTAATGACTTGAATGTATGAACCTATGATGTATTGGGCTTACGAAGGTTACCGGTTTGAGCTCAACTTTACCTACTAAGGTTTAGACAGTCAGTGAGTAGTATCTTTAAACCTCAAACAGTAGGTATGGGTAATTGCCTACTGTATCAATATGCATGTGGTTGCTGATTGCTTTCCTACTCTTTCTTTCTACACACTTATCCTTATATATGAAGGGAATGATGAATATAATATGATGAGGTGTAGAGAAACACTGAAGTTAGTTTTATTTTCAATTAGGTGCATATAATATTTAGCGTTTTTCTCACTTTGTCATCTTTATTTAAAAATGTTTTCTAAGAAATTGTTCAAATTTGAAGTATTGTGAAATACTTACAAGGTGAAATAACTTTCTTCAGCATAGATGGATTATTTGTAAGTTCCAAATCTGACGTCTGTATGGTAGGATAGTGATACTAGACTAACCATTTCATGTAGAGAATAAACTGCTGAAAACGCATTCCTTAGTCAGACATGATGGATCATATCCATTCCTAATTAGTTTATAGTCATGACTTTACTAATCATCTATGAACTTTTTTTCAGTATTTTATGTATACAAGATATCGATTGACACAAATAATAAGTCACGTTTTCTATAGCGTTTTTCGTTAATCATTATCAAAATGCAAGTTTATAACACTGGTCTATTGAATTTTGATATTTGCTTACATGAATGGATAAGTGAATGGCCTCGATTTTAAAATTTGCGCTAATTGTTTTACCTTCCAGTGTTGTTGATGTTAAATGTGTTCAATACTCTTTTTTGCTTGTCTTACAGAAGGAATCATCATGTGGCATGCAAAACATTATGGTTCTTCAGGTTTGTTGACATATCTTATTCTCGCCATATTCTCATCATAGTCGTTGCAATCTTAATTACTTTTCACATCTGTTTATCGGCTTCATGATACACTTACCAAGGTGACTATCCTATATGTCTTTATCTACAAAGCTTTAGCTGATGAAATGAAACTACTTATAAGTAGTGTGAAATTTATGTTTTTAACGTTTGTGTAGTATCGCTGCTTAGACCAATGAAAGCTGATCGCTTTTTCGAATTACCCTCCTTGCTTTAAAAAACATTGTGTATCTAACCTTAAAACTGCTAAATTTGTGCTTCTGCTATACATGGCATGTACTAAAAATCTGTTTGTATTCGAATAACTTTAACATTCCAGGGTCACCAACTACTACCAACTGGCATATCTTCCGACTGTGGAGTAGGTCAAATCGAACTGCTGCAGTTATTCATCCTTTGTTAAGTGATACGATATCTCGAAACCCTTCATAGTAGTGTAGAAATTTTGCTAGCAACAGACTTATATTTCAGTGATATTCGATGAAACTATGGTGTTTTAGATTTTCGTCTATTGACCAGCAAACTCTTATAAATATCTAGGAATTAATTGTTAATCTGCATGAATCAATGATATACTTTCCCCTATTTGGACTAGCTCTGATCTCAATAATTTTATTGGAATTGATGCCAATCTCTAAGCTGAAGTTATATAACTTTTTTATCACCTAATAATTTCATCTTTTTTTCATTACTGTGCTGATGTGAAGCTCAGCCACTCGAATTGTCACAATTATGTTTAGGTCTGTTTTGTTTATATTTATTCATTCTTGAGAACTATTCATGAATAGCTACCATGTCAAATCGTTTTGCTATATGTGCAAATAATTTTATCGCGTTCAGTATACACCTCATGGCATTGTACTGTCAGAGATATATTGCTTTGTTAGTAGGTATAAGTCATCATCATCATTATCAACATAGGACCAGGCATTACTGCCTCACGGTCCCACTTGCCACACCTCATACCAGCACATCAAGTAAAAAGGTAGTGAGGCGAAGGATGAAGATAAGTGAATGCAGTCAAAAGAAATATAAAGTATGAGAAGAAAGGAAAGAGGAGTGACAAAATGGTGAGATTCGGTATTGCGTTGTTAAGATGAGGATAATGTGTGTATACATCTGCACCACTGACTTCGGTTCTGAGCCATATCACCTAGGGTCTCCAACCACTGGTTCCTCTTGTCCCGTGGACCCCAACCACCTAGTCTGCATCGCCCCTCTACATGGCTTAAACCAATAGTCAGAGACTTCATACATTGGTACCATGTTTTAGTCTGGCCACCTCGGGCCTTTTTCCAGCCTGGACCCACCTCAGCCAACATTGTGTGACAAGGCAATCGGTGACTAGACACACACAGTAATTGTCCCAACCATCTCAGTCGATGAAGGTTCACAACCTCGTCTACTGACTTACCTCTTCTCCCCAAAACTCTACACCTAACTTCTGCATTACTCACATGGTGACACCACGGAATACGTCCTATACTACGAAGGCAGGCAACGGTGGTCAAACACCTGAAGCCTTTTTGTATCCTCCACTTTGAATGGCCATGTTTCACAGCCATAGAGGAGAACAGACGGACTGCTGTGCAGTACACGCAACCCTTAATAGACAAACGAATATCACGGCGGCGCCATAGGTGGCGCAAATTGGCAAAAGCCAATCGAGCCTTTTGTATCCGTGCATAAATCTCATCGGCAAGTAACCCACCACGGCAGGGTTGATTCTACTTCCCAGGTAAGTGAAGTGGTCAAGACACTCAACCACTTCACTCTCTATTGTTAGCAGTGGTGGGGCACCGTTGAAGACCAGTCCTGGGGCGAAAATTTGCATTTGTGTGGTGAAAATCGCATCCCAAACATTCTCAAATTCCCACTCAAAGTGTTCAGAAGACTCTACATCTCATCGATCAGCGTCTTCACCTAACAGGACTATGTCATGTCATCTGCATATTCTAGATCTAAAGAAAATTCACCTGTGATTGGGTGAACGTCTGTGTAATTAGGTGAGGAGAGGGAAACCTCCATAAGCATATCTATGATAAAATTAAATAAGAATGGGGATAGTGGGCATCCTTGACGGACACCACTTGATGAGTATAGCTCCCTGGACAACTGGCCATAGGCTCTAAGATGCCCACAAGTGTTCGAGTAGAGAGCTTTCAATAAGGTGATGTACTTACTAGGCATGCCTTTCAGTGACAGACATTGCCGTAAGACTTCTCGATCAACGGAGTCAAATGCCGGTATTAGTACAAAGTCTAAAAACCCCAAACTGTCTGCCGATTTCATCATACAGCCAGCATTATCCTTCTAGGCGAATACCTTGAGTTGTAATAAAAGTGAGAATTTTCCCTGCATTTTGTTTAGAAACTGGGCTACTGCACTCTTACTACTGAAATAACCTTAGAAGTAGTCAGTTCTTGTTCCAGGAAATGTTATGCCAAATTCAAAATGTTATCGCTATATTCTGATCTCGTAAAAATCATCAATATTGACAAAGACTAGAAAACTAGTTTTTGTTTTACAGATAAGCTATCCAGAATCAAGCAGTTTTCTATTTAAAATTTATTATGCCTAGTACATCTTGAGCTTTGTATTTTGTCGATTGAAATGATCCACTTTTCTTTTAATTCCATGCAAACGCAATGTAACCTCTTTAATGATTTTCTTTTTACAAATTCGTTCTTTTAACATGCTGTAATCAGTATTGGCCAGCCTAAGGCCTAAGATTTCATGCCTACTAGCTCTCCTCATTAAGGTATATTAGCAACTGCAAAACTGGCACGGACTCAGATTTTTAAATTAGTCACTTACAATCACGGTTTAAAATGTTTTTGTTTCAATTATATTCAGTTTACAACTAATCTTTTGTGATTTTGGATCAAGATTCCAAAAATAAACAATGAAGTACTGTATAATGCTTGATACATTGAGAATTTTATTTGTCAAGTACCGTGCACAAACTGGAACAGGAAATTAAGGGGAAATTGACCTTTGTCAAATACTGTCTGTGCGAAAATGGTTACCCTTCGAAGTTCAAAGATAAGTAACTAAGAAAGAAACAAAGAGAGTCAAGTGCAATCCATTCGCCGAAAAACTGCCTATCTACACTTTGCTTTCAAGGGGGATGAAATCATCGCATTTATGAACTATAGACTAAGTGCTTTACTAAAAAAGATTTATCTAGCTGCCAAGATAGACTGGATATATCAGACTAAATGCTCATTGAGACAATCTGAGCTGAAAAAGTTCCCGGGTGTTGTTATCTCCAATTTTTTCTTACTAACTCACATATATGTTCCAGATACATAGAATGGGAGAACATAGAGAAGGGTTCTTTTCCCAGTTTCCGAACATATTCCAAGAATTTAAGTCCTAGGGTCCACAGGGTTTATAAGTAACGAAATCGCTCAGCATTTCCTTGATACTGGACGTATGAAAAACCGTTCAAAGTGATCAATAAACAACTGATATCCAACATTTTGCAGTTTTCTGAAGCAGATCTAATCGAAAGACGTGATCGGTGTTTTCAGCCAGATGCTATTGTTAATCTTGCCTTATTTCGGTAATTCGAATCTCCTTTCTATCTGTTTCAAAAATCTACTCTCACTCTCAGAGTTGTATTCATCTTATTACTCAATGTAATGATAATCTGTTAACTTTTTATTACCTTTGCTTAACCATTTTATCATTTTTACTAATTCGAGAATATGGGGATTTGTGGGAATTTAGTGGTTTTTCAAGTTGGCATTCATCATGGACTGATATCACTTGAAGGGACATTGGAAACTTGAGAGCATTAAGCAGATATTTCGTCGTAGTATGGGAACCCTCAGCAGTGCACACCCTTGACCCTGCCTCATGTGGGATAGAACCCAGGACTTCCAGTTCCCGTAGCTAGCACGTTACCGTTAACCCATTTGGTCAGAATTCAGCGGTCTCTATTTCCAACTTCTGTCACTTCGCGATTTAGTACGATCATCTCCCAATGTCATCGTTGAGTATTTATCATCATGTCCATCAGGTTTACCCCACCTGTCACGACAACGCATTGGAATTTCAGGAATCCTCTCTCGAAGCTAGACACCAATGAGCACTTGATCAATTGAACTTGAAAATTTGTGGGGATTTAAGGATTTTTTCAAGTTGGCATTCATCATAGACTGAAAACAGCTGGTGGAACATTGAAAACATGATGAATACCAAATTGAAATCAATAAATCCCCACAAACCCCCATGTTGAATTAATCTAGTGCTCATTAGTGACTAGCTTCGAGAGGTGATTCCTGAAGTCCCAATGAGAAGGGGTGACCGGTAGAGTAAATCTGATGGACATGAGGACAAGTATTGAACTATGAGATTGTGTGATGGTTGCGTTACGTCAGAAGTTGTAAATGTAGATTACTAGATTCCGACGGAGTTTGTGAATGGTAAGGTGTTGGCTACGTAACGTGAAGGTTGTGGGTGGGCACTGCTGATGATGTCCATAGTAAGACGAAACAGTTGTTGCGTGCTCTCAGATTTCTAATGTTGTTCCAACTGATGTCAGTCCATAATGAAGTGCCAACTCGAAAAATGTTAGAGTATCCTTGCTTACAACCCCCTCCCATTTTATGCCATCATCTCTGAAATGTTTATTCCATCACTGTATAAATAGTTAGCCTTCGAATAGCCTTAGCAATTTCATCACTTTCGGTCAACCGAAATCTTTGTCACCTTTCATCTCAATGGAAACATTCTTATCGATTTATGAAAATACATTGTATAACATGTTTTTTCTCATAATTATCATATTCTATGGTTTGTAAAGCAGCTGAGGAAAATCCATGAAATACATGCATTCTGATTCTATTACTATTGTTCCTTTTGTGTTATATAGATTTGTGAAGGCGAAGAATTGTGTAAACTTCCTAAAGAAGCGTCTCTGTCTTGCATTTTTCAATTTACTGAATCGTCTAGTGACAATAAATACACTTACGGAGTTTGATATATACCTGTAAAAGTCACACTTTTTTTATTGTGAAGATGTATTAATGAGTTTTAGTTCTACCTAGGGATCGTTTTTAATTAGAAGACAGTGAATTTCTAGTAAGGAAGAAGAAACTAACTTTAAATGCAATCCCTTTCGGGACTTATCAGCTGGAAATATCTTCAGGAAAGTATATAATGGGACCCATTCTCACGTTGTTTTTTGATGCTGCGCCAAATGCATTTTGAGGTTAATGACTTCAGTTTGAAAACCTGCGGGCATTGGGGGGCTGTCTCGTCCTAGTATGCACTCATGACCTCTCACAGACAGGGGTCGCACTCAGGACCTTCAGTTTTCTCGATGAACGCGTTAACCATTGGGCTGGGGTTCAATTGTCTACAGTTTCCTACTTCTGTCAATTCGAAATATAGCACGTCTATCACCCATGATCTTCAGTTGGCATCCGCTTCCCTTATAACTAGTTGACCCCGCAGGTCACGACTTCTCGTTAGAACTTCGGTATGCCCATCTCAAAGTATGTTACTAATGAAGACTATACAATAATTAATAATACCTTAAAACTTAGTGTTTCTCTCTTCGGTCACCTCACCTCCTTTGTGATATACGTAGTAAGATCTTCCATATATATGGAACAGCTACTGAGTCATTCCTGTTACATGTATAAGCTGTTGATTCGATGAATAGAGATTCAGATATTCTATCCCTCTATCCCGCTATGTTTGTTTTAAGGATTTTCTATTTTGTGGTTGTATGCATAACTATGGCCGAACGTTTCTCTAGATTTTTTCTAATCTTCCTAGGACCTACCAGTTTTGATCTAGCTAGGTTTTTGTGGTCGGATAACCTAATTCATCCTCCCGGTCGACTATTTTGACTTTTGCATTCGACCTTGAAGTTGTTGCAAGGGATTCGGTAAGATTAATTATTCTGCTTGATTGGATCCATGTGGTGTTTTAACTCAAGTGGGTTTGTTGGTTCAGATGTAACTTTAATCCCAGCCTTATAAAGAATCTTACGTGACGTCTCTGAAGTGCCTTTCGTGTATGGTAATACCTTAGAGGTTTAGAATTCTCCCTTCACAATATTACCACCATTGTTATTATTATTACCACTGTTAACACCTGTCCTACTGATATTGATTGCATTTTTCTTGCAATTACCATTATTATTATTTGTCCCTTGGGTTCCTAATGAAACACGGGGCTTCAGTAGCACGTCTCCAGTGTGCACTCTGTTCTCTGAAATCTTTTGAACCTGGCTCCACGACTACCCATAAGCTCTAATTTCTTCCTCACATCATCTCCTCCATGTCACCCTCAGTTCAGACGCCCAACTCGCCGTCTCCCATCTGGGTTCCACTCGAAGGCCCAACCTGGCGCATGATGTCTTCGAATAGTCTTCTCAGTGTATGCCCAATCCAATCCATCTACACTTTCGCCTTCTGCATATTCATTGTGTGATAGGTTCTCGGTTGGTTCGTTGTGTGACCAGAGTTTCTTGTTGCTTATTCTTATTATTCTGGCCATCTGATGTGAGCTTCAGTATCGAGTGAGCGTAGGTGGTAGTTGTTGATGAGTGTCTGTAGTTTGTTGGAAATGCTTTTTGTAACACACCAAGTCTCTGAGCCATGTAGGAGCACTGACTTACTTGACATTAGTGTTGAAAATCCAGATGTTGTTGAGGCTTTATGCTGAGTGGAGTGGAGTAGATCTCCACACTGATTTCACATTGATGAGGGCTTGTCTTGTTGTCTTTCCGATCCTGGTTTTGACATCGTCATCTGTGCCTCAATTGCCTGTAGCAGTTGGAACGATGCTGCTTGCCTAGGTAGATGGTGATAGAGACTACATCCTTTAGGTTTCTCCCATTCATGGTGATTGGAGCTTGTTGTTGATGGTGGTGGTGTTGTTTGTTGGGTATCTTCATCACCTCCGTCTTCTCTAGATTCACTTGAAGTCGCGTTTTCGCTGCCTCACCTCTTCTGTCAACTTGTTGGATTTTGCCTGTAGATTTTCAAGTTTGTATGACATCAGACACAAGTCATCAGCGAAATCCAAATCTTCTTGGATTTTTTCTACGGTCCAGCGTATCACACTCTTCTCGCTCTTCACTGATCCAGTCCAATCCGCTACAATCAGGAATATCATGGGTGATAGTGGACAGCCTTGTTTTACTCCTGTCTTCACTTCAAAGGCATCACTGAGCTGAGCTGTCCGTTATTAACTACTTGGCATGTGGCGTCTTCATATAGTTAGTTGTTGAATGAGGTTCTTGCAATTACCAAGGATCTTACTAATTAGATGAACTGATAGATTTAGGCGGGTAATTATTAATGAGCAAGGTGTTCTTAATGAGTCTGTTTTCTTGTCTTACTAGTGAGTTTGTTTGTTCTGTTATTCAACCAACTTTAACTGACATAAAATGAGATGATGATGAAGTCTAAGTGTGTCCGAAACGTAATCCAGTAAATTATACATTGTGTGGTATATCTAATAAATCGCTTGATGTAATCGTATGAGGTATGGTAACTTAAACCGTTGGACACTATTACTGGTTCTTGTGTTGTTTCTGGCTTTCTACAAAAAGCTGCTGTGTGGAAAAAAAAATGCTCCATTAGAATGCGTATTGGATGCAAAACTTTAGCTCGTTTTGAAAGTTAAAACAGGTAGGCATCAAATGATATCACTTGCCATTTTCTATTCAAGTTTAATAGCTTAGGGGTATGCCAAGTTATTCGTAAAGTCTGGGAAGTGTGTAGATGCTTGTACTTCATATTTAAAAAAATGTAAAGATGATGAGAAATATAGCACTGTGTCGGCATTTAATGAGTAATTCCCAACTGATATCACTTCACAACACGAGAAATACACCTTTAGCAGATCAGACTAGTGGAATTATAGATCAAAAAGTAGTTAGAAAACAAACCAATTTACCCATTACATTCATTATTCAACCTCACCTACTAATACATAGTCACATAACTGGTGGTTCGGTTTACCTTGATTTCTCAAGTATTTATACTGTCTCGTCACATCAATATATTTATAGACTTGAATGGTGTTTCAATAAAGACTGACTTTGATCCATGGGTCTTCGTAAGAAACCTTTCCCGCAACTGTTTGTTTGCTAGTACTCAGTTAGGTAATAATGAAATTAGCGATCTACCAGCAAATTCTTAAACGCAGCGTAATCTCCTCTGCATTCCTACGCCTCATCTCTCATGTGGCCTGATGTAAAATTATTCACATTGTATCCTCATTTTTCAGTGTAAAACTAAACCTGTGTACATAAACACTGTGACACAATGTGCTTATTGACTTCAACAAGCGTAATTTAACTAGTGAATATAAATGACGCGGCTGTTGTTATTTGACCACGTTTCTGATGATATCTAATAAATCAACTAACATCGTACCACAGTGACCAATTCGACTCTTACATTACAAATATTTTTCATTTTATCATGCTTAACACAATCACTTTCTTTTAGATATATTTCTGAACATATAGTGTTGATTAATATTCAATTCAGAGTTTTTATTTTTAGTTTGGTTGATATCCAATGTGTTAATCGTGTTGTTTCTTCATTGTTAATTATCATTTACCATATTTATACACTTATATTCATCAATACTAGGTGTTAATTGAAGATGAAATGAAAATCTGAACTGTGGTCGGATTCGAACCAGCGACCATCGGTTTTGCGACCCAATGCTCTATCAACTGACCTACGAGGTCTGATTGCTAACCAGATTTTTATTTTATTTCAATCACATAGGGTTTTACTTGACTATCATATGAATTTGTACCGCTTTACTACCACTTGATCATGCATTGGTTGCCAAGTTAGGACTTCTTATCCCAATCCAAGTGTAATGGGTAGTCACTGGTTTAAATCTAGCCACTGTTCAAATTTTTATTTCACTTTCAATCATCACCCGGTATCAATAATACAAGTCTGTCAAACTATGGTAATCTCAGTTAATCAAAATGATAATTTATGATTATCAGTTCTGATTTATTATTGGTGGGACTAGATTATTGAATGTCTTTCAACTCAACTTCCAAAAAATATTTACATTTCAGCGTTTAGGCTTAGCTAGTTCTGCGCGTATTCTAGAGATTGAACAATTGAGACAATTAGAACCAGATGAATTGCAACAACGCTTTGGTACTATTGTCGATCAGCCTAATATAAACTTTCCTCTACATGAAGCATTATGGGCATGTCAAAGTCTTTTTGTCACTTGGTAGGTTTACTTTCTGTGTTTGTTTTGTCCTTTCCTATACTTTATCATAATGAAATATAAACGATTTCTTTAGGAGAGGATAATAGTTTTGTATTGTAGGCCTAAAGAAAACGCAATATTAAGCTTAAATATATGTGCCCAACTTGTCGTTTCCCATTTGGATTCCACTTGAGGGCGTAGCTTGGCGTGTGATGTCCCCGAATAGTCTTCTCAGTGTATGCCCAATCCAATCCATCTACACTTTCGCCTTCTGCATATTCATTGTGTGATAGGTTGTCGGTTGGTTCGTTGTGTGACCAGAGTTTCTTGTTGCTTATTCTTATTATTCTGGCCATCTGATGTGAGCTTCAGTATCGAGTGAGCGTAGGTGGTAGTTGTTGATGAGTGTCTGTAGTTTGTTGGAAATGCTTTTTGTAACGCACTAAGTCTCTGAGCCATGTAGGAGCATTGACTTACTTGACATTAGTGTTGGAAATCCAGATGTTATTGAGGCTTTATGCTGAGTGGAGTGAAGTAGATCTCCACACTGATTTCAGGTTAGTGAAGGCTTGTCTTGTTGTCTTTCCTATCGTGGTTTTGACATCGTCATGTGTGCCGCAACTGCCTGTAGCAGTTGGAACGATGCTGCCTGCCTAGGTAGGTGGTGATAGAGACTACATCCTTTAGGTTTCTCCCATTCATGGTGATTGGTGCTTGTTGTTCATGCTGTTGTTCTTCGGATATCTTCATCACCTCCGTCTTCTCTAGATTCACTTGAAGTCGCGTTTTCGCTGCCTCACCTCTTCTGTTAACTTGTTAGTTTTCGCCTGTACATCTTTGAGTTTGTGCAACAAGATAGACATAAATCAGTCGAAATCCTCTAAGATCTTTTAATCGGTGAAACAACGTATGCTGATCTTCTCACTCCTCACAGTTTGCTGCATGATCTAATCCAGCCCACCACAATCAGGAAGATCATCGGTGATAGTAGACGGCAATATTGTCTTACTTCTATCTTCACTCCAAATGTATTACTGAGCTTTCCATTGTGGATCACTTGGCATGTGGCGTCTTCATATAGCTTTTGAAGGAGGTTGATAAAGATTTGTGATACTCCGTAGTGTTGTTGAAGCAACTGCCAAGTTACTTCTCAGTCGACGCTGTCGAAGGCCTTTTCAAAATCGATAAAGTTGAGGTAGAGAGTTGACTACGATTCTGCGCTCTGTTCTATAATGATGCCTAGCGTGGCGTTGCAATTTGATCCACACATGATTTGTTCTTCCTGAATCCAGCCAGTCAGGCAGTTCCTGTTATAATTTTGAACCAAGTGCATTGTTTAGTCTCTCCAGGATGATGCGGCTTAATATTTTGCTTGGGTTGGACAGTGGTGAAGCATGATTCCCCACCAGTTCTTGTTCTTGCAAACACTTAGATCACCCTTCTTTGGGAGTTTGACAAGGTAACCTTTCCTTCCAGACCTTCTGCAGTAATGGTGTGAGCATGTCCATTGTTGTCTCAGTGTCTGTTTTCAGTGCTTCTGGAGGAATTCCATCTGGTTGTGCTGCTTTATCAGATTTCAGCAGCTTTATGGCGTTCAGGACTTTTGCTTTTGTTGGAGGGCGTGTTCACTGATAGTTCTGCGGTTGGTGGTGGTGATCGATTCAAGAGTTTTTTTTGAAGTGGTCAGCCCATTGTTTCCTTTGTTTCTCCTCCTTTGTAACTAGCTTTCCTTCACTGTCTTTATATGGTTTCGTCTGCTTTGATCTCTTCCCAGATAGTAACCTGGTTATTTGATATAATGTTGTCAGGTCTCTCCTACCAGCAGCCTGTTCTGCTTTACTTGCCAATGTGTTGTAGAAGTGTCTTTTGCCTAAGTAACCAGGTGAGGTTATGTATGCATATACAGTCGAATTATTGTAGTTTATGTAAAAGACATTTTACTCAGATGTTATTTAAGCATATGGCTGCATGATTCTGTTTACACACTGTTTTCTGATTTCTTGATTGTTATTTTCACTGGAAGGGAGTAGCCAAATTCATGTTGTGTAGTCCTCAGTGTTAATCGAATTTTATGGATCATTTTGCAGCGTGGCCATCAAACCAGGAGGCTAACTAACGCAGTGGACTTTTGATGAGGGTTAGTTGTTTGGTAGCAGTCAGCACGAAACCTTTTGGTACTCGTTAGCAAGGTGTAGCGTCAACGGAACTGATGTCCCTTCTGATATTCGAACTTACGTCACCACCAGCATGAAGTTGGTTACCCTCCGGTGACCAATCAGTGTGTCTAATCCTGTTTTACAGGAGGTCATTCGAGGCTCAAATAGCTGGGTGCTAGCGTTTCTTACGTAGGCACTGGGTGACATGAGTTAGAATTTCACCGGGGACAATAGTTCTATCGGGGTTGCAAATAGATCTTGTTGACGAATATCAGTAAGTACACAACGCAGGTCAGGTAGGGCGGCTTTCTACCGATTGCCTTTATCCAACTAACAAAAGGGTTTGTTCTATCTTTCTAAGCTGTTGTACTTCTTGTAGCTTTTTATCGCTCACACAGTTGCAGACTTTATAGATTGGTTACGAGAAGAGTAAGTAATAACCTTTTCAATGACTAATTACTGATGTGAATTTATGCGTGGTGAATGTCAGAATAACATGAGAAAATGTTCACGTGCTCAGACAGGGTTAAAGGCAAAATTGGATCGGTTAATCTGATCATGACAAGCAGAATTGATGTTTTAATGTGGTCACTTGCGTTTGAAGCAATGAGTCCTGAGTCCAAGTCCTAATGGGATTAATATTGCTCACTGGGAGGGAGGTATTATCCAACTGACGAGTCTCAAATAGAAGGAAATGCACGTCCTGGACTCCACTGCTAGGCAGTATCCACCAATAGTACTGAATTTGTGTTTTCCAAAAAACATATTGAATAGAGAAAAAACGCCGATTAGCGGAGAATAATAGGGGATCATTTTAGTTTACCGTTTTTTCGTTAGTTACTTTCAACCTGAGACAGTTGAACAACATATAAGAAAAGAAGATAAATATACTTTTTGCAGGGACATGGAATGCGAGAATTGGGATAAAGTTATACATTTGATTCAATAGATGGTACATGAAAAATGATGTGAATAGTAACAGTGTTTTGGTATTTACAATGAACCGTTACGTAAGTGGATTAACAAGTAGGTTGATTGATAATAAATAACAGATGGATTGTGTAATAATATTATGAGTCGACTCAGTTGGCAGAACGATCATGAAAAATTTGAAAGCAAACAGTAGAAGTTCCCAGACCAAGGGGGGATGTCATCAAATATGAGGAAGCGCAAAAAAATTAAGTTACCTGGACAATGAAACACTGATCATTGCTTCTTTTTGAGTGTATCATTTCAGTTTTCAGTTATTTGATCGCTTTGGCCTCAAAAAACTTGAGACAACTTGGATTGTGTGGTTTATTGATTACCTTGAAGTATTTTAAGGTTTCTACTTCGTGTCTTGTGTCGATAAGATATCAAATGGCTACACTTTTAAAAGCTTTTGTTCTCCTGAGATGTATTTTCAAAGAATCTAAAGCATGTTTTTCTCTCTCTACTACCAATGTAACTGCTACCGCAGATGCATGTTAACTTGTGCATAAAGGTAATATAGAAAGGAAAACTATTGATTGTGCTGAAAAGCATGTTGTTCTGTAGACAGGGATCAGTTTCAGGCGTTTGGTTCTCCCTGTGACATCATCACTCTTAAAGTTGTTGAGTTCAGCAGAAGCTAGCTCATTACTTACTGACATTTTCTTTGATTGTATTGTCTTCAGATCTGATCTATATTTATTGACTACTTCTACGGGTAATTGTTGTCTCATGGGTTTTTTTTAGTATTTAGCAAATCATCCAATATATTAACAATAAGTAACTAACTGTAGTTGTGTTCTGATTGATTATACAGATTCATGACTGACTAAGGCTTATATTGTTTTGTAAGTGCCAAGAAAAATCACTGATATTGTTGGCTGAATGTCCAGTTCACTTTTCTAAGTCTTACAGTTCATCTAAATCCTCAATGCATTCCTGTTGATAAAATTATGCCATATTTTTAGTATGTATAAAATTTGAGCACTGTAGCAGATTGTAATTCTACATAAGGTGGTTAGCTTATTGGATATAGTCAGCACACAGTGACACAGTATAATTTGGTGGATGACGTTTCGAGCATAAATTACCGCTCATTATCACATCGAGGTAATCATATATCTTTCGATATCTGGTTTTATATTCCTATCACCTGGTATTTTTTTGTTTTTAGTTGTAGTAAAATTCTCCATAACAATACTACTACTACTACTACTACTACTACTACTACTACTACTACTAATAATAATAATAATAATAATAATAATAATAATAATGGCTTGATTCCAAACAACACGTGTGGTACAGTATGGAATTCTCAGCATGTAATAATGCAGTAGATTTATTCCTTGTACAATATATTTAAAAGAGATAATCATTGCATTAGAATAATGTTAGTGATAACAGTAATAAAAACCACAGTGTGGAACAGACACTTGATATTACATTAGCGTCTGGCTTGAACTGGTGGATGAATAGAAAATCAAGCGTAATTTGGGTGACTCAACCAACTACATAACAAAATCTGTGATTCGACATATTTATCCAAGGAATAGTAATGAACTATGTTTCTGAGCGTTTTAAAGCCCATCCCTTACCGGCGTATGATTTTTTCTTTACTGGTTGTTAGGTGAAAAATCGGCAGCTTGAAACCATTTTAAAAGTGTGCAAGAGTACGTGACGCGTTTCAGAGACATATTTAAAGAAAGTAAAAGAGATTGAAAGAAAAGAACTTGGTGTGATATATTCAATGGAAAATTTTCAATAGCCCAAGGTTTAACTGGGCCACTTATATCTCTGGTATAGGTGTTGCGTCATCCCTACTACATTGTGTATTAGGTGTTATCAACCATCGAATCAGCATCAGGGACTTGTAATAGGAATAGAAAATTTTACTGCCACTACTCTCAAAGAATATGATGTGACAGGATCATAAAAATGCGATGTCGAAAGATGTATGATTACCTCGATGTGATTATAATAGATAACTGATGCTCGAAACGTTATCCAGTAAATAATACTGTATCATCGTGTGCTGGCTATATCAAAAAGGGCAAGTCGAATATGGAATCCCATTTCTTTACACTGATATTAGAATGTTACTTATTATTTTAATGTTGAGGTATAATGGTTATAGGATTAATTGAAATTCTTTTAAGTAGTATCATACTTGCCTTCTAATTAATCGATAAGATGGAATTGTCTATTCGTGATACATAAAGACTAAGTTTTAATGAAAATTCTCCTACTTTCAATTGTTACATACCGACGAGTTCAGTGTTTCTTCATGGTTTTCAACCTGGCAATGAACAATTACAATTTCTATTGTCTTTACAGTAATTGATACTGGGTGATAATCGAAGATGAAATAAAGAAATTTGAGCCGTCGCGAGACTCGAACCAGGCACTATCGAGTTTCCCACCCAGTCCTCTACTAACCGAGCTACAAGGTCTCACTGCTGACCAAATCTTAATCTCACTTCAATCACCATCAGTTTTACCTGACTACAATGTGAATTCATGACGTCAAGGCTTCTCATCCCAATTTAAACATAATTGAATTAGAGAGGAGGAGCATCATATTATTTATCTTTTTTAACTAATTGAGATAGCTATCGTTTGGCAGACTGGTATTGATACTGGATGGCGATTGAAGGTGAGGTGGCCGGATTCGAACTAGCTACCGTCAGGTTTCTGGTCCAACGCTCTACCAACTGAGCTGCGCGATTCGACTGCTTGCCAGATTTTTATTTTACTTCACTTGAGCTGTAAGTATATCTCTTCAGGAATTGGTGAATTAATTTAGATGAGAGCGTTACACATTGTTACATCCATACTTAATTAAGCTTAAAAGGTTTAAAGTAGGTGTGAATAGTAATCGAGTTTGCATTCTTAGAAATAAAATTCTTTGTCTTAAGCTTCCTTCAGATGAAATATGCAGATATACTCAAAACTACACAGGTGGGGAATAAAGTTCTGAACGTATGTATAACTAACTGGTAAAAAGTCACTTACCTTGGCTAATCATCCATAATTTCGTACGTTGATAGATGCTAGTTGGATGGAAACAGTTGGCAGGAAGCCCTGGACTTCGGTTTCGTGCTCGTTGGCACTCGTCAGCAAGGCGTATCTGCAACCCTCACACGAGGTAAGTCGCGACCCGAATAGCTCAGTGGTAAGGTTGCTGACTACAACACTGGGTGACGCGGGTTCTAGTCTCAGGCTGGGTATCAGTCTTCTCTAGGTTGCAGATATGCTTTACTGACGAGTGCCAACAAACACGAAACCTCAGTCAAGCAAGGCTTCCTGCCGATTGCCTCCATCTGACTAACATCTATTAAAGCGTATCGTGATGCTGAGCTACCTAGTCTGGTGGCCACATTGCAAAATGATTGATGAAATTCGGTCAGCACATAGAAAAGTAGACAACATGAAGTTGGTTACCCCTCCCCCCCAGTGACTAATCAATGTATAACTTCGTACCGCTTGACAGTGAGGTTATTTGAAAACTGATTGGTTCAATGAATCAGTTGTACTGCTTAAAATTTACTGAAACTCTTCAAATTTGTCTACTTCCTTTTTTGAAAGATGTCTACATCTTCATGTCCATCTTCTATTCATTAGCTATTGAATTAATAATCTAATTTATTTACATTCATATTTTCAAATTTCATTTTATTTCCAGTTCAAAAACAATCGGTATTAAGCATATCTTCCTGTTAACAGATGATCCTGATCCAGTAAATAAAAGTTCTTATCTTAAGGTAAGTGATATTTTATGTTCGATTTTAGAAGTCAGTCAATGAATACCATAAATGGATACTTGATCATTATTATAAGCTTCTGAGACCATATAACTGACAGAAGTTGATCAATTCGATGCAGGTATGACAACTGGAGATTACAAATATCAATTAATAATAGTTACTGATACGTGTTGCACAAGAGGTAGTTAGCGTGCTTCAATACTCTAGTAGATGAGACTCTATTATTCGAAATGATGAGTATTGGGTGGGGAAATCACTCGCTGGGGTGCAAGAGCAATTGGTTGATGAATAAATTGTACTCACTTAAGATTATTACGTAATCGATGACTAATTATGACCAGTCAATGTGATTACTTTTCCTTAAACATTGTAAATAAAACAATAAACGACTGGAAAGTTTTATATTGAATTTGTTGATACCCTTTCTTTTGTATTCATGTTTGTCCACTTTATAAAGAAAATGTATTAACACAAGTCAATCAAGGTACAGATAGCTTATGCACTCGGTTATGCGTCGTACTTATTGTATGCAGACCTATGGTACGATACTATCTGATTCAGTTGGCGGATGTGACATTTCGATCTGAAGCCTATTACTTGAAAATCAATGAACTCGAATTCATTGTACGTAAACATTGTTATCTATAGTAACTTTCTCTAGCACACCAGAAAATCAAGGATTATTGATAACCACATAAATATATTTTAGTTTATACTTATACTCTAATTGTGTAGTTGAGATATTCACCTTTCTCCTAGTTCTCTATGTAACTCATAAAGATAGCGAAAATCAGGAAATGAAATAAACTGCTTCTATAGTCTATCATTTGGTACTGAAATACACACACTTACTTCTCTGTACAAGGAATTGACACGTACTGAAGCGTCAAATTATATTCAAGGTGTGTAGATAACTTGGCGCGTTACGAAAAGCATTTCCAACAAACTACAGATATTCATTAACAACTGCCACCTATGCTCACTTGATACTGGAGATGGAGATTAGATGGCCAGAATAATAAGAATAAGCAATAAGAAACTCTGGTCACACAACGAACCAACCAACAACCTATCACCCAACAAATATGCAGTAGAAGGAAGTGTAGATGGATTGGATTGGGCATACACTGAGAAGACCGACTGGGAACATCACGCACCAGACCAGTCCTTCGAGTGGAACCTAGATGGGAAACGACGAGTTGGGCGTTTGATGTGAGGATGACATGGAGGATATGGTGTGAGGAAGAAATGAGAGCTTGTGGGTAGTTGTGGAGCCAGGTTCAAAAGTTTGAGGAGAACAGAGTGCACACTGGAGATGTGCTACTGAAGCCCTATGTTCCATTAGGAACCCAAGGGACAAATAATATAATAATAATAATTATCGCAAGAAATGGCTTACCTGAAACTGTGAAATGCAAACATGTTACTGATTTCTCGACTTCCTTCTCTTCCTCTTATCTTCTGCGATTTCAGTTCTACGTAAATAGACAAAACCGATAAGGATCAAAATTACTGACTGTTTTGGCTTTACGTAATATTTATACAGTTTTATATTGATACTAGGTGATGAATAGAAATGATATGAACTAACGACCAAAGAGTTTTCGGTGCGATGGCTACGAGACCTGACTGTTGATCAGATCTCAATTTCACTTCAATCACCAAGGGTTTAACGCGACTGCCACGTGAACTCATACTGGCTGCCCGGTCAGGACTTTTTATCGCAATCCAAATCTACTTGAATTAGAGAGGGACAGCATCATACTGATTATCATTTTAGCTATCTGGTTGAGATAGCTGTGTTTTGGCAGACTAGTATTTATACTCGGTGATGATTGAAGGTGAGATGGAAATTTGGGCTGCGGGGGGGATTCGAGCCAGCGATTACAAAGTTTCCTACCAAGTGATCTACTAACTGAGCTACGAGACAAGTTATATATTCTTATCGGTGAATTATGAAAATACACGAGTTTCACTAGTTTCAATTCCACAATAGTTTATATTGTAAAAGTTATTGTTCGTAGACGACGAAAATGGTTGTTTGGTTTGATTAAAGGAAGGCTTGTCAACTACGTGAACTGTTGAAATTTCAGGAATGACAGTCAATCAGATGGATAGACGTTGCAAAAGTATTGTGTGTGACAGTGCTTTGGCATTTGAAGTGATATGTACTAGTTACGAATCTCAATGGGAACAAAATCATTCGCTTGGATTCAGGCACATCCGGTTGACGAGTCCGAAAGTGGGACGACACGCATGTCCTGGAATCCACCCCTAGTCTCCTTTGGAGATGTTTTTTTAATTAGACTTCTTTATTTTATGAAAATTCAACTTTCCAGCCATAACAGTTGATTGTTTCAGTCGTTGATACGATGGTCTTGAGGGTCACTCATAGACTAACATGCTAATCAAGTACTTGGAGTATCAGCTGTTAACAACGGTAGTATCTCAGCATACATATGAAGATACCCAACCACCACCACCAACAACAACAAGCACCAATCACCATGAGCGGGAGAAATCTAAAGGAAGTTGTCTCTTTCACCTACCACCCAGTGGAAGCAGCATCGTTTCGACTACAGGAGGTTGCGGCGGCACAGATGAGGATGTCGATGACAGGAATTCGAAAGACAGTATGACAGGCCTTCATTAATCTGAAATCAGTGTGGAGATCTACTCCACTCAGCATAAAGAAGAAGATCCGTATTTTCAACACTAACGTCAAGTCAGTGCTTCTGTGTGATGGTTGAAAGACTTTGCGGTGCGTTACGAAAAGCATTTCCAACAAACTGCTGTTATACATCATCAACAGCTGCCGCCTACACTCACTCGATACTGAAGATGGAGATCAGATGGCCAGAATAATAAGAATAAGCAACAAGGAAGTTCGGCTGACTGACAACGAACCAACCAAGAACCCATCGCCTAAAAAATATGCAATGGAAGAAACTGAAGATTTATTGAACTGAACATACACTGAGAAGATCGTTTGGGGACCAGGCCAGACCAGGTCGTCAAGTGGGAGCGGAATGGGAAACGACGAGTTGGGCGTGGGAGGATGACATGGAGGAGATGGTGTGAGGGAGAAATGAAAGCTTGTGGGCTAACGTTGAGCCATGTTGAAAAAACTGCAGAGAAGAGAGTGGAATGGAGACGTGCTACTGAAGTCCTATGTTCCACTAGGAACCCAAAGGACGAATAATATAATAATATATGTTTATGCTGTGAAAGCTGTTTGTCTTCCCAACCTGATGTAGAGTATACAATCCTTATGGAGCTGTAGCTTATTCCTCTGCGTTAACTTCCTTCAAATAATTGGATCGATTGGCTCCATATCTGGTTTTAACTAATCGAGGCTTAGACAACCAAGTAGCATTACAGCCTGCAAACAGTTGGGTGCAGCTTATCGCCTAGTACATAAAACTAACTGTATGTGGTTTCTGAGTCACAATGCATATTACACTATTCTTTACAATACCATCTACCAGATGTTTTATTTCACAACTGTAAGTTTTAGTTGTTCATAACCTTACGTCACTTAGAAAGCATTTTTGACTATCTGATGATTGAAGGTGGAACGGAAATTTGGACCATGGCCAGATTCGAACCAGCGACCACCGGGTTTCCATCCCGATGCTCTACCAACAATATAAATACTAGTCAGCCAAACGATAGCTATCTCAATTAGTCAAAAAAGATAAACAATATGATGCTCCTCCTCTCTGATTCGATTACGTTTAAATTGGGATGAGAAGCCTTGACGTCATAAATTCACATTGTAGTCAGGTGAAACTGATGGTGATTGAAGTGAGATTAAGATTTGGTCAGCAGTGAGACCTTGTAACTCGGTTAGTAGAGGACTGGGTGGGAAACTCGATGGTGCCTGGTTCGAATCTGGCGACAGCTCAAATTTCTTTATTTCACCTTCAGTCATCACCGAGTATAAATACTTAGAAGGCATGTAGGTGAATAAGCTAGTCGGAATAAATGTGTTGTTTTTGTGGGCAAGAAATGTTTTTTTGTTTTCTGGAGCTTTTAAGTGGACTAATTTCTTCACGATATTGCCTTTTACTTTATATTTATCTAGAGAAGAGCAATGACCAAAATGGGAGATTTGAAACAATACGGAATTGAACTTGAAGTGATTCCAATTAAACAACAAAATATGAAATTTGATTATACATTATTTTATGATGTAAGTAGGAAGTGGTTTTGTTGACCTTTGTCATTTATTTATTTTGGAGGTAGTATTCATCACAGACTGATATAAGTTGGGTAACGCATTCGCCGTGTAACCTGAGTTCGACCCCCCAACCGGGTCGTGGGTGCGTAGTGATGAGGAGTCCTATACTAGGACGAAATAGCTTTCCAGTGCTCCCAGATTTTCAATGGTTTCCTAAATGATGTCAGTCTATGATGACTACTACGTCTAAATTAAAAATCCCCATTCTTCTCAAAAATACATTCATTTATTTGTTTGCTTTTTGCACTTGTATGATGTGAAGTGTTTTCTGGTAGTCGATAGGAAGCCTAGAACCTATTTATTGACACTTGTTGACAATGTAGGTGTATGGGAAAATCGAAATCCTACTTAGCAACCTCGGGGATATCATCATGGATGAATTTAAGATCCCAACTTGTGGATTCTGTGGCTAGATAGTCGCGTGGTCACCGCGAAATATGAGGATTATTGGTTTATTTCCTATCGGCATCATGGGTATGCAATGCTGATGAGTCCCATAATAGGACGAAACAGCTGCTGTCCAGTACTCCTAGGTTTTGCACTCGTTCTCCAGTTGATGTCAGTCCTTGATGAACTTGCAACTTGAAAACAATGAATAGTTTCCCACAAATCTTCAAACTGACATACTGAATTTATTCGTTTGATTTAACATACAGTGATACAGTACTGTTGATTGAATAACGTTTCGAGCATCATTTATTTATCATAATCATATCAAGATGGTCACACAGTTTTACTGTTTGGTTTATATACGTTTATCACTTTCTATTCATTGATTTTATTGTTAGTACAACTTTCTAAACGTGTGGAGTTGACGCTGATTCATTCCTACTGCATGTGTTTGTTGTTGATCCGATGAACGGTGATGCAGTGACCAACTTCTTCCTTTACCCTCCTACATTATTTTTTAGGACTTAGGTTTTTACCTTTTCTGTTCTTCGTTTGTCTGTTAGTGAATGTATAACAGTGTCTGAGTTTTTCTCTGGGTTACTTATTTTGATGAAGTCTACCATTCCTGTGTTCTGCTATACTGATTAGCTCCGTTCGGCTAATTTTTTGGCATATCTACTTGACTTCACAGTCATTACATCGAAACCTATTGAACAATCTTTTCAACATTCTTGTATTAGGCAATGTGTAAGGGTCAATGATACAACCTCTCTTCGGCAGTCGTATTCGAACCAGTGATCCACTAATTGAAAGTCACCTCTCTAACCGAATAAACTGCAACTTCACCTTTCGACTAATGATACTACTTCATATTATTGAGTTTAAAGTGTTGGTTGAACTCGGGTTTAATTATTCCCCCAACATATGTTTACATCAATCAGTAAAGTAAAATTATAGTTATTCTAAACAAATTAACCTTATACAAGTCAGTGCCCAAGTTCAGATTCATACCACATTTGGTTTGTATACTACTGAGAATTCATATCAATTTGAATAGATAATAGTTACAGGTTTCAGACTAATACATAAACTTACATCTTGCAGTCAGTAAACTGTTTCATAAATTCTTTTCGACATTATTATTATTATTATTATTATTAGTCCCTTGGGTTCCTAGTGGAACATAGGGCTTCAGTAGCACGCCTCCAGTGACCTCTGTTCTCTGAGATCTTTTGAACCTGGTTCCACGACAGCCCAGAAGCTCTCATTTCCTCCTCGCACGACCTCCTCCATGTCACCCTCGGACGTCCAACTCGTCGCTTCCCATGGGGATTCCACTCGAGGGCCTGACGCGTGATGTCCTCAGTCGGCCTTCTCAGTGTATGCCCAATCCATCTCCACTTCTTCCTGCATATTTGTTGCGTGATAGGTTCTTGGTTGGTTCGTTCCCAGAGTTCCTTGTTGCTTATTTTTTCTGGCCATCTGATCTTCAGCAGCGAGCGTAAGCAGTTGTTGATGAATGTCTGTAGTTTATTGGAAATGCCTTTCGTGACGCGCCAAGTCTCTGAGCCATACAAGAGCACTGACTTGACGTTGGTGTTGAAAATCCGTATCTTGTTCCGCATGCTGAGTGCAGAAGATCTCCACACTGGTTTCAGGCTAATGAATGCCTGTCTTGCTTTTCCGATTCTGACTTTGACGTCCTCGTCCGTCCCGCCTGTAGTTGAAACAGTGCTTCCTAGATAAGTGAAGGAGGTTACTTCCTTCAAGTTTCTCCCGTTGACGGTGATTGGAGTTTGTTGTTGTTGTTGTTGATGGTGGTGGTGCGGTATCTTCATCACTTCTGTCTTCTCTATATTCACCTGAAGTCCCGTCTTAGCTGCCTCCTCTGTCAACTTGTTAGTTTTTGCCTGCAGATCTTCAAGTTTATGTGACATTAGGCATAAGTCATCGGCGAAATCCAAGTCTTCTAGGTTCTTTTCCGTCGTCCAGTGTATCCCCCTCTTCTCGCTGCCTACTGTTTGCTGCATGATCCAGTCCACCACAATTAGGAATATCATGGGGGATAGTAGGCAACCTTGTTTCACTCCTGTCTTCACTTCAAAGGCATCACTGAGCTTCCCATTGTGGATTACTTGGCATGTGGCATCTTCATATAGTTGTTGAATGAGGCGGATAAAGGTTTGCGGTACTCCGTAGTATTGAAGCAGTTTCCAAATTACTTCTCGGTCGACGCTGTCAAAGGCCTTCTCAAAGTCGATGAAGTTGAGGTATAGAGCTGATTGCCATTCTACGCTCTGTTCTATGATGATACGAAGCGTTGCAATTTGGTCAGCACATGATTTGTACTTCCTGAAGCCTGCCTGTTCCGGTCGCAGTTTTGAATCCAGTGCGTCTTTAAGCCTCTCCAGGATGATGCGGCTTAATATTTTACTTGGGGTGGATAGGAGAGTGATTCCGCGCCAGTTCTTGCAAGCACTGAGGTCTCCCTTCTTCGGCAGTTTGACAAGGTAACCCTTCTTCCAATCGTCAGGTACCTTCTCTTCCCTCCACACCTTCTGCAATAGTGGTGTGAGCATGTCCGCTGTTGTCTCTGCATCTGTTCTCAGTGCTTCTGGCGGTATTCCATCTGGTCCTGCTGCTTTCCCGCATTTCAGTAGCTTTATGGCGTTCAGGACTTCCATTTTCGTTGGGGGATTTATGTTCACTTGTAATTCAGCGGCTGCAGGTGGTATTTCTGGACGAAGTGCAGGTGGTGGTCGATTCAAGAGCTTCTTGAAGTGGTCGGCCCATCGTTTCCTCTGTTTCTCTTCTTTTGTAATTAAATTTCCTTCTTCATCTTTTATTGGTTTCATCTGTGTTGGTCTCTTCCCTGATAGCAACCTGGTTATTTGATACAATGTCGTCAGGTCTCTCTTACCTGCAGCCTGTTCTGCTTCACTTGCCAGTGTGTCGTAGAAGTGTCGTTTGTCTTTGCGTGCACTCTTCTTCACTTCTTTATCCAGTGTTTTATACATTGTGCTCAGTTCCTCTTGTCGTTGAGCATCCTTGCACTGGTTTATCTTCTGCTTCACCATCCTCCTCTCCTCTATCAGCTTCCAGGTATCCGTCGAGATCCATTCCTTGTCTTCTTTCTTCTTCCTTCCTAATACTGTTGTGCAGGTTTCTTTCCACATAGCTTTCAAAGACTTCCAGTGTTCTTCCACACAGGTTTCTTCAGGGATGTCCCTCGATGTCTCCCATTTTGTCTTGATGGCTGCCTTGAAGATCTCCTTTGTAGTTTCATCCTTCAGTTTCCGAGTGTTGTACTTGAATTGAGGTCTATCACCAGCTTCCTTGAAGGCTTTTAACTTGATTTGGAAGGTTCCTTGCACTAGATAGTGGTCTGAACCTACATCTGCTCCTCTTCTTGACCTTGTGTTAAGTAGACTGCGTCTCCATTTTCTTGAGATTGAGATAAAGTCGATTTGGTTTTTAGTGTGTCCATCTGGTGAAATCCATGTCGCTTTGTGGATATCCTTGTGCCTGAACACACTGCCTCCAATCACCAAATCGTTGAATGCACAGAATTCTGCAAACAATTCTCCATTCTCATTCATTTCACCTAGCGCCTCTCGACCCATGGTTAGTTCTCTTCCCGTGTTGTCCCCTCCCAGTTTGGCATTCATGTCGCCCATTAGAATTTTGATATCGCCAACTGACGTCTTGTCCAGTGTTGACTGAAGTTGTCTGTAGAATTCCTCCTTTTTCTCTTGCTCTGCATTATTTGTAGGTGCATAACATTGTATGATTGTGACCTTTCTTCCTTTTGAGTTGAATCTTGCTGTCATGATCCTGGAGGAGATTGGTTCCCACTGCATGAGAGCCTTCGATGCTCTTGAGGACATCATGATAGCCACTCCCTCAGTGTGCTCGTGGTTGGCGTCTGGGTGACCGGAGTAGATTATTGATTCTCCCGTTGACAGTTTGGAGAGTCCACTCCCATTCCATCTGCTTTCGCAAATCCCAAGCACTTCGATGTTATACCTTCTCATCTCCTTTGCAATCTGGGCTGCCTTACTGGGTTCAAACATCGTACGGACATTCCATGTCCCCACGTTTACTTTCGCTTTCATCGAGAGAAGACACATCGGCCAATTGGCTTCCCGAAGGCTTTCACCAACTGGCGTCATTTCGCCTCTCCGATTCCAGCGGGGAATAAGTTTGTTTTCATTTTTTATATTTTGTTTGTGCTTTGAAGTTTCTTTAGCGGTTAGATTTGTTTTACGGGGTAGGGTTGCTAGCCCTATGCCCAACCTTCCCTCTTTACCCGGGCTTAGGACCGGCTAGTAACTAGTAAACTAGTTAACCAGGCGAGGTTTCTTTTCGACATATTTTATGTTATTTTTAACTAGGAACTTTTAGAAGATGAGACAACTTTTCCTGATATAAATCCATCACTTAGTCACCCGGATCCAACTGAACGTCTCGATGAACTATTGAGTCGGTATGTTCACTTCTATTCTGATTTGATTTTCGTATATTTTTTTTTCTAGAAATGTTCTCACTAAATGTTGTTTTACACTTATAATTCCGCGTTGTTATTACAGAGTCGAATTGCCCAGTATCTGTTAGCAGATGAACCTGTATGTGGATACATTTATAATGCTTGGATATTCATTATTTTTTAGTCTACTTAGTAACTAGCGTTGAGATCAATGACACGCGTTTCGTCTTCCTTGGGACTTTTCAGTTAGATATACCTGTACCCCAGTGAGTTTTGTTTCAGCTGAGACTGTTGCTCAGTACTCATCGCTTCAAACGCTGTAGCTTTATCCACTACAGCATCGGAGCCACCTTTTGTGTAATGAGTATCAGTCGTTGTTTATTGATACTTGTAATTTCCTGTTGCTATACCGGGTGACTCTCGTGGCCTTGTGGTATTTGGAGCGATAGATACTGGGTTCAAATCTCAGTGAGAACACTACTCATTGGGGTGCGTGTGCATCCATGTGACGAATCTCAAACTAGTTTGTTATTAAGTGTTCATTGCATTCGGTTATGTGGTTAGGACATGTATTATGTGTATGCCTTTCCGCATAGTGTTAACCGAACTAGGTTTGACCTGAAACATGTGTAAAGGGGGTCAAACTGAAAAATACCAACCAACTTTTTCTATAAACCATGTAAGGAAATGTAGACTTCCAAGTCGGTATTTGTGTAACAAGCGAAATCGGTGTTTGGAAACTCCATCTGTTATGGCTCAAAATCAGCCTCAGTGATGTAGATACCGCTACACATTATGCTCATACTGTCATGTTGTATTTCATAGGTGTTTTATCGCTTCTTTCTTTCTTTGCATAACTTCCTACTACCTTTCATTAATTTTTAACCTTTTTCTCTGTCTTTAGTCTTGATACATTCTCTCTTGATATGCTAATATGAAGTGTGCCAGGTTGGACCGTTATGCAGTCATACCAGGTTCCATATTGATTAGTAAGCTCTTCTGAAGTAACTCTGGCCACACAACGAACCAACCAACAACCTATCACCCAACAAATATGCAGTAGAAGGAAGTGGAGATGGATTGGGCATGCACTGAGAAGACCGACTGGGGACATCACACACCAGGCCAGTCTATCGAGTGGAACCCAGATGGGAAACGATGAGTTGGGCATCCGAGGTGAGGATGACATGGAGGATATGGTGTGAGGAAGAAATGAGAGCTTGTGGGTAGTTGTGGAGCCAGGTTCAAAAGACTGCAGAAAAGAGAGTGGAATGGAGACGTGCTCTTGAAAGCCGTATGTTCCACTAGAAACTCAAGGGACAAAAAATAATGATAATAATTTGGTTATTCAAGCACTTGTTAGGATAAGTTGATGAAATCAATCTGGTTTCTCCTATTGGCTTTTCTTCTTTAAGAAGATTTACACTTCATAAGTTTATGAATATGAGAGAAATAAGACCATATTGCACACAGAACAACAATCGGTTAACATAATCATTTTAGACTAGAGAGAATATAACATACTTTACGGCTGTGATTCCTAAACAGTAGTGCATGAAAAGGTTTATAGAAATGGGACGCAAGAAGCTATTTTTTGTTTAAATGTTTTCACGTAAATCTTTTTTTTTTTGTTTCTCAGTGTCTCTTATAATTGATTGAAAGAATTCAGATTATTTAGTAATTCCAAAGGTTTCTATTATCAAATTTGTTTAATTTTAAATACATTTCACTTATTCTAGTGTCAATTCGCCTGAATTACGTCGATCTCGTGTAGCTCGTTTACCATTTCGTCTTGGACCGGGTAAAGATTTTACTTTAGGCGTTTCAGTTTATTGTTTAATTCGTTCAACCCGTTTACCTTCTCCAATTTGGCTTTCATCTAATGATAATAAACCTGTTGCAGTTCAAAGACGATATTATAAAGTTATAGATCCATATGGATCTTTTGATCCAGTTAAAGATAAACTACCACCTCATGATTTAGTTCGAGGTATTAAACTTGATGGTCGGTATGTATGCTTTGATAAAGATGAACTTACTGAAGCAGTGAGGAATATTGCTCCCGTTGGTAAGTTAATCATTCAGTTTTTAAAGTTATAATTAATATGTGATTCCGTTAATATTATTTAAAGTAATAACTTTTACTTATAATGGAGAGTCTTTATAGTTCAGGTGGATGGTCTTGATTGTATTGTGTTCTCTCAGCTGGGTTGTTTAATCGTGAAGCTTTCATCGTCTTTCTGGACGACATCATCAGCACTAACTTCAGTATGAAGTGAGCTGTCAATATCTCTGCGTGAGTGATTTAGTGGCTTGCTCTGACGATGTGGTCTGTGATTGGTTGTTTCTTTCGATTGTTGTGTCATTGACTATATAGACTTTCCTGTTGGCTGTTCCTCTGCTTGACCTCTGACCTATTGTTCTATAATAGACTGTTATATGTTTGTGATATATATAAATACGATTGTACAGCTCTGGAAAATGATATCGTCGAATAAGAAAGTTTTCTTAGTTGAATTATCTCTTCTCTTTCACAGAAGTAGTAGTAACAGTAATAAACATATAACAGTCTATTATAAAACAATAGGTCAGAGGTCAAGCAGAGGAACAGCCAACAGGAAAGTCTATATAGTCAATGACACAACAATCGAAAGAAACAACCAATCACAGACCACATCGTCAGAGCAAGCCACTAAATCACTCACGCAGAGATATTGACAGCTCACTTCATACTGAAGTTAGTGCTGATGATGTCGTCCAGAAAGATGATGAAGACTTCACGATTAAACAACCCAGCTGAGAGAACACAATACAACCAGGACTTTTACTTATTTCTATGAATGATTAATTGATGGTTAGAATGCAAGATGTTATGTGAACAGAGATGAACAGTCTAAAATCCTACACAAGTATTTTTAGGTGTTAAATAGTTTATACCAATTGCTAAGAAACTCTGTTACACGTAAATAATCCCAATGAAATGTACCTGATACGTCAACAGAATTAATATCTTTTCGAAGAATGAGACCTGCGTTCATGTATCAGTTACATACTTCAGATAGATAGACAGACAAACATCATCAATATAAGACCTGTTATCACTACAAAGTAGATAGATAGACAGAAAATCTACTTAGACGTACGCACACAAGTGTATCACAGTAATTCACAGCACCATACAAAGAACAAGTGGATCGTAAAAGACTGATTTCAAAGTAAACAAAGAAAATAAACAATTCAAAGATAATGGTTGGTGTGAACAATCAGTTTCACAAAAAGTCAGAGAGTGAATACATCTGGACCATTGTGACTGATTTCCAATGTTGTCACCAAGATTTCGCAACCACTGATTTCTATCATGTCGAGGTCCCAATCCACATAGTCTAGTCTTCATCTCGTGATGATGTTCAGAACAGGAGTGAGAGACTTCATCGACTGGTGTCACGTTTTTGTCTGATCATCCTGAACCCTCTTTCAACCTAATCCAACTTCCCATAGGATACATCGCACATCGAGGAAGGTGGTGGGTGATTCAGCATAGCATGAGCAACTCATATCCAACCCATTTTATCCGAGTAATGTTCACAACCTCATCAATCGAATTTTCTGTTTTGCGTACTATCCTTCTTCTGATCTCAACGTTGCTCATATGATGATTCCACCAAACTCGAGCAATGCCACGAAAGCATCTGTGATCAAAACCCAGTAATCGCTTCATATGCTTTACTATTAAGGTCAATGTCTCACAACGATATAACAGGACAGAACGAAGTGCAGCGCACTTTAACTTTAATAGGTATATCAGCACATCAAACGAGAATGCAATCAGATAAAAGATAAAGTGATAGAGTTGTGATAAGTCAGAAATGGTAAGAAGTTATGAGGTATAAGCAAACACGAACGAGATGATAGTAAAGTGAAGCTTGACGATAAGTATGAAGAAAGCGTATGCATACTAACTACAGAAGTTGGGCACTGTTAGATTAATTTAACATAGTTTACACAATATGTGATTTATCAAATAGTCTTATCTTATATAAAGATGCATGCTCACATTCCACATTAGTAGGGCAAACGAGAAGTACAAAGAAACGAAAACTAAGATATAAGGAATTATAATTTGTTATGCTTGTAATTAATCTTTGTTGTGTGCAAATGGGCCCGCTATGCAGATTTTTCAGTTTTGCTTAATTGCTTGTTGTTGAAATAATAATGATAACTGATACCCGTTGTACAAAAGATCACATAGTGGATAGCACTTTGTGATTGAAGCTGTGGATACAAGGTTCGAGTCTTGATGGGAACACCATCACTCACTAGAGTGCATATATACATCTGGCTGATGAGTCCCCAGTAGGACGAAATGCTCATTCTACCTTCTTGCCCGCTAGTCTAGTCACCACCAAGTCAATTATAATTAAGGTGCTAAAAATCTAGATGATGGAGAGTACTATGTGTATCATAGTATGATGTAGAAGATATTGAAGAAGGAAAAGCATAGATGTATCTCTTCCATTTTAATCTATTTCACAACATATTACCTAGAGTCACTAATCATTCATTCAGTTTTTGCTATAATAGCTTAATGTGTATTCTTATCTAAAATTCTACCTACGAACTATGGACAATGGATAGATAGACCATTAGTTGCTTTCAATTATTTATTACATATGATATTTAAGCGCTCCTCATTTCATTACTTTCAATTACCAATCAAACACTTTTTGATTTTCTAGTTTTCTCTTTAACCTAAAAGATGACAAGCATAAAAAAGTTTTTTCGGATTGAAAAGATGTCATTAACTATTCCAGTAAATATCTTTACTTTGCAAGGAAATAATATTAGAGAGCTATGTACTATGATGCTAGTCTAAGAAAATTTTATTAGTACCCGTGTGGTGACTTGTTTAAAGTTGAAAATGAGGTTTGTACAGTAGCTTTATCTCACCCTGTTTGTATGGTTGTGTGTTAATGCATACATAGTAATAGCCGAGTTTTTTTTTTCTAGATTATTAATCTTATTTAGGTCTGTTATTCTATATTTAGCTAAATTCCTATGTTCGGCTATTCTAATTGACCCCGACCGACTAGTTTGACCTATACATACTTGACCTCATAGTCATTACATGGGTTGGAGTCAGTTAGCCGAATATAGGAATTTAGCTAAATGTAAAATGACAGACCCGAATAAGATCAATAATCTGGAAAAAACTCGGCTATTGCAATGTATACATTAACACACAACCACACAACAGGGTGGAACAAAGCCACTGAAGTCCAATGTAATTAGATGGAGAGAGAGAGAGAGATTATAGAATCTTTGTTCATCGAATCAACACACTCAATACATATAATAGAGATGACGCAACACCTATACCAGAGATATGGAAAATTCTGCTACCAATAAAAACAACTCATATAAAATGACATAACTATAAAACAAACAATGTGAGCGAAGAAATATTTCTTTTCAATTAGTTCCTCATCAATGGCTCTACACTAATATAGCATTTTCAAACGTAAAATTACATCAACGATGACATTGGGTGGCGGTCTGCGCTATATCGTGAGCTAACAGAAGTTGGAAATATGGAGCATTGGATTCTGACCCAGTGGCTCAATGGTAACGCGCTGGTCGCGGAACCTGAAGGTCGCGGGTTCGATCCCTGCTGGTGGGGTCGTGGGTGCGCACTGCTGAGGAGTCCCATACTAGGACGAAACAGCTGTCCAGTGCTCCCAGGTTTCCTTTGTTCCTCCAACTGATGTCAGTCTTCGATGAATAACAACTTGAAATAATTCCAAATCTCCACAACCCCTCAAAATTTAAGTAAAATTACATACCAATCTAATGGTGAGAGTTGTTCAGTGAAAGGTTATCAATAATAATGGAGCTATTGAAATACCAGTTATAGTGAATTGTGTTATTATTATTATTACAGACTTAATCATCTTTCTCTCCCCCTACTGTCTCTAATTACCGTCAACAATTTACCATTTTACGTAACAGTTCATTTTTGCTCTTTAGTTATCATTATATAAAATATCAATTATGTAAGAACCTGTTCGCAAAATCTTTCTACGATAATTAATCTTTGCTTTAGTTAACTGTCTTAATTACCTGATCAGTTATCACCTTCTTGATACTTTGAGATTGATAACCTTTCATTGAACAACTCTCACCACTAGATTGGTATGTAATTTTATGTTTGAAAATGCTATATTAGTGTAGAGCCATTGATGAGGAACTAATTGAAAAGAAATATTTCTTCGCTCACATTGTTTGTTTTACTAAATGTCTAAATGGGAATTTTGCATAACTATAAAAATCAAATGTGGAAAGTAGTGTGATTAGATTGATATGATTATGAGCAATGATAATTTATGCTCGAAACGTCATCAAGTAAATAATACTAGATCACTGTGTGTTATAAATCAAATAAACAAATCTAATATGGAATTAATTTCTACCACAATGCCCAAGTTTTACACTTATGTTAATTCGAAGACTGACGAAATCCAGGGTCTTCTGAACTCTTTTAGGAGATATCTGACTACGTTTGGTATACGTTTCTCACCTCTCAAATATAAGTTGTTCCCTGGAACTGGTTTGCTCCAAGTACTCCTAGTTTAATGATATAAAGTGGTTGAAACTGTCCACCACTTCACTTACTTCGGAAATAGCATCAGCTCGAACTGGCTAGACGCTGACGAAATCTCAACCCAGATACAAAAGCCCCGTTTGACATTTGGTGCCAACAAGCGAGATATCCGACCATCTATCAAGGGACGAGTTTACTGCACTGCAGTCCTGCTCTATGGGTGTGATACATGATTGTTGAAAGTAGAACATATGGAAAGACTCCAGGTATTTTATTACCAGAGTTGTCTTTATAGCATCGCTTAATGTGTAATGAGCATGTGAATAATGTCGAAGTCAGGTGAAGGGTACTAGACAATGAAGAAAAGTAAGTCGATGAGGTTGTTAACCTTTAGCGACTGAATTGACTTGAGCATCTATTGTGCATGTTGAGCCACTGTCTATTTCCACGCGTAGTGCTGGATAAGGTTGGATTGGGTTGGGAAAAGGCTTAAAGTGGCCAGACTATAATGTTGCACCAGTGTATGAAGTCTCTAACTGTTTGTGTGAGTATGAAGACTGCCTGGCTGGGTTCCCTCAGAACATATTACTGAAAACAGGTCACATTGGTGCAGATGGATTCACTGTTTGATATCTTCTAAAGCTTGAATATATTTACACTAACCATCTCCGAACTTGGTCGACTGGATCATGCAACAAACAGTGGGGAGCGAGAAGAGGGGGATACGCTGGACTGCGGAAAAGAACCTAGAAGATCTGGATTTCGCCGATGACTTATGTCTAATGTCACACAAACTTGAAGATCTACAGGCAAAATCCAAAAAGTTGACAGTAGAGGTGAGGAAGCGAAGACGAGACTTCAAGTGAACGTAGAGAAAACAGAGGTGATGAACATACCCAACCAACACCACCACCACCAACAACAAGCTCCAATCACCATCAACAGGAGAAACTTAAAGGAAGTAACCTCCTTCACCTATCTAGGCAGCACTGTTTCAACTACAGGTGGCACAGATAAGGATGTCAAAGTCAGAATCGGAAAAGCAAGATAGGTGTTCATTAGCCTGAAACCAGTGTGGAGATCCACTTCACTGCACTCAGCACAAAGAGTGAACAAGATGCGGATTTTCAACACTAACGTCAAGTCAGTGCTTCTGTATAGCTCAGAAACTTGTCGGGTTACGAAAGGCATTTCCAATAAACTACAGATATTCATCAACAACTGCCACCTACGCACACTCGTTACTGAAGCTCACATCAGATGGCCAGAACAATAAGAATAAGCAACAAGGAACTCTGGTCACACAACGAACCAACCAAAAACCTATCACCCAACAAATATGCAGTAGAAGGAAGTGGAGATGGATTGGATTGGGCATACACTGAGAAGGTCGACTGGGGACATCACGCACCAGACCAGTCCGTCGAGTGGAACCCAGATGGGAAACGACGAGTTGGGCATCCGAGGTGAGGGTGACATGGAGGAGATGGTGTGAGGAAGAAATGAGAGCTTGTGGGTAGTCGAGGAGCCAGGTTCAAAAGATTTCAGAGAACAGGGTGCACACTGGAGATGTGCTACTGAAGCCCTATGTTCCATTAGGAACCTAAGGGACTAATAATAATAATAATAGTAATAATAATAAGAATAATAATCTTCGGACTGCTTATTCTCTTGGACAACTTTGCTGCTTTTTCTGTCCACTTGTTCTTTGTATGAGTGTTATGAAATTGTAGCAACTTGAGGTGATTTGCTTGTGTATAACATTGTACATTGATTTTTTCCAACTGTTTGTCTATAACTCTTCGAATTTTAAGATCCAATGTGGGTTATTACACTATCGATCCATCTTTTAAGCTATTAAATCAAATTTCAATGGAAAAATCAGTGAGATAATGTTTGTACTGTGAAAAAAATACCTTCATGATAGAGACTTATCAGACAAGATAATGTCATGGACTCAGATAGGTAGGGAAGTACACATAACTAAATATGAAGACTTAGAGAACACGGAACAGTAATCACCTTTCACGTTATTCTCTTTAAATTATTTTATTGTATATTTAGTGATAATTTGTTACGTTTAGTTGTTGGTTTTTTGTACTCATCTTTCAGGTATCCATTTATTAGGTTTTACACAGATGAAATTTTTAAAACGCTTCTATTACATTCGTCCAGCACATTTTATTTATCCTGATGAAAAATTGATTCATGGAAGTCGTTTATGGTTTACAGCTTTATTAAATCGATGCTTACATCGTAAATTATTAGCTATAGCTATATATATTCAAAGAAAAGGTCAATTTCCTCGTCTTGTTGCACTTCTTCCTCAGGTAAATCATATATGTTATTGAGTTTATTGAAACAAAGATACTATGTAATAGTTTTTTCTCGGATTGTTGATGTACAATCGCGTTATTTCCATTTATTATCCTATACCATATATCAAACATGGCATCATTTCTGATAATAATAATAAATAGTGGCTAGCAGTGAAATCCAAGATGTGCGTTTTGTCCTGTCAGGGATTCATCAGCTCGATATACTACTTGTCTCACAGTGAGTGATATTATTGCCACTGTCTCAAACCCAGAGTCAGAGTGTTATCTACTAGACCGTGAAGTCACAATAGCTCCTCCTTGTGTAACGTGTATAGCATAGTTTTTATATTATTATTGATTATACTTCTCCGCTGTTGATTGGATAGGATCGATCGACATAAGGGCCCCTGCCCAGATGTCTTGTTACTGACTGATAGACTAATGATGGAGAGTGACTGGGAGTAACATTAGATCATTTTATTTGGGGACATTGTTACATGTGTGTTTGTGCATATGACCAACTCTTCATGTTATTGTAACCTTCACCTTTGCTTAATTCACATAATAGAATAATCATTAGTGTATTACTTCATCTCACTTCTAATCAATAGAACATGAGGTTAGTAATGCTTGCTACTGTCCTTGTAATCAACCTAATAACAGATAGCAGTATACAAACCGAAGTGAATCATTTCATTTTGTCGAAAATAGCCTAATATATGCTTTTATTTATCACAAGATTATGCCCGAACGGTAAACCGATGATACATTTGTGAATAAATGAGTGAAAAGTAAATTATTATTTTAGTATAATTGTTTTTATATCATACCGTCGTTGATTAGATCGGATTGATCGGTCTGTATTGGCATATGTGCTCCTGTGTGGATGCCTCGATATTACCTGTGTTCTTTTTATTATATTAATGATGGATTGTAGCTAGCAGTGGAATACAGGATGCACATTTCGTCCTATTTGGGACTGGTAAGCTGGGTGTACTTGCTTCCCAGTGAGTGATGTCGTTCCCACTGGGATTTGGACTCGGGAGCGACCGTTTCAAACGCAAGGGCGTTATCCATCATCCCGGTGGGAACAACTTTACTCACTAGGAGGCAGGTACACCCAGCTTACCAGTCCCAAATAGGACGAAATGCGCATCCTGGATTCCACTGCTAGCCACGATCCATCATTAATATATAATTAGAATACAGGCAATATCAAGGCATCAACACAGGAGCCCATAAGCCAATAGAGATCGATCAATCCGATCCAATCAACGACGGTATGATATAAAAACAATTGTACTAAAACTATACCCGTCGCACAAGAAGTGGCTATCGTGTTTTGGTGGTGCAGTGCATAACGCCCTGGCGGGTCCGAATCCCAGTGGGAAGCAGGTACATCCAGCTGATGAGTCCAAAATAAGACGAAATGCGCATCCTGGATTCCACTACTAGCCACGATCCATAATTAATATAGAAATTCTTGTTTTTTCACGTCTTTAATTTATTCAGCAGTTATTTCTTGAAAATTTAATTTCCATAGCTATTCCATCAGTTCAGTATAAACATAGTTTAGTTAGGTGTTTATTCAAATAAGATAAACCGTATCTTCAACGATGACAAATTAATTGACTGATGACAACACTGATACAGAATGGCTACCCGTTGAAATTTATGAATAGGTGTTTAAGTTATATTGTATTTAAAAGTAGGCAATGTCTACATCTTATTACTATTTAAAGGAGATTCACATAGCTTTGTTGTGAGGGAAAAGCTTAGATCAACCATCTGTAAAACATGCTGTCAACAACAAAGTCCATGTTACAGCACAAACCAAAACAACATATAAACGATTTTATCACGTCCCATTGTGTTTAACAGTTTACATGTATATGTGGACACAAAAACATTATTATTATTATTATTTGTGCCTTGGATTCCTAGTGGAACATAGGGCTTCAGTAGCACATCTCCAGTACGCTCTGTTCTCTGAAATCTTTTGAACCTGGCTCCTCGACTACCCACAAGCTCTCATTTCCTCCGCACACCATCTCCTCCATGTCACCCTCACCTCGGATGCCCAACTCGTCGTTTCCCATCTGGGTTCCACTTGATGGACTGGTCTGGTGTGTGATGTCCCCAGTCGGTCTTCTCAGTGTATGCCCAATCCAATCCATCTCCACTTCCTTCTACTGCATATTTGTTGGGTGATAGGTTTTTGGTTGGTTCGTTGTGTGACCAGAGTTCCTTGTTGCTTATTCTTATTATTCTGGCCATCTGATGTGGGCTTCAGTAACGAGTGTGCGTAGGTGGCAGTTGTTGATGAATGTCTATAGTTTATTGGAAATGCCTTTCGTAACCCGACAAGTTTCTGAGCTATACAGAAGCACTGACTTGACGTTAGTGTTGAAAATCCGCATCTTGTTCACTCTTTGTGCTGAGTGCAGTGAAGTGGATCTCCACACTGGTTTCAGGCTAATGAACGCCTGTCTTGCTGTCTTTCCGATTCTGACTTTGACATCCTTATCTGTGCCACCTGTAGTTGAAACGATGCTGCCTAGATAGGTGAAGGAGGTTACTTCCTTTAAGTTTCTCCTGTTGATGGTGATTGGAGCTTGTTGTTGGTGGTGGTGCGGTATCTTCATCACTTATGTCTTCTCTATATTCACCTGAAGTCCCGTCTTCGCTGCTCTGCCTCTACTGTCAACTTTTTGGATTTTGCCTGTAGGTCTTCAAGTTTATGTGACATTAGACATAAGTCGTCGGCGAAATCCAAATCTTCTAGGTTCTTTTCCGCAGTCCAGCGTATCCCCCTCTTCTCTCTCCCCACTGTTTGTTGTATGATCCAGTCCAGTTCGCTACAATCAGGAATATCATGGGTGATAGTAGACAGCCTTGTTTTACTCCTGTCATCACTTCAAAGGTGTCACTGAGCTTCCCATTGTGAATTACTTGGCATATGGCGTTTTCATATAGTTGATGAATTAGGCTGATAAAGGTTTGTGGTACTCCTTTGTGTTGAAGCAGCAGTTGCCTGATTACTCGTCGGTCAACGCTGTCAAAGGCCTTTTGAAAGTCGATGTAGTTGAGGTAGAGGTTTGACTGCCATTCTATACTCTGTTCTCTGATGATGCGAAGCGTTGCAATTTGATCCACACATGATTTGTACTTCCTAAAGCCAGCCTGTTCCGATCTTAATTTTGAATCCAGCGTATTATTTAGTCTCTCCAGGATGATGCGGCTTAATATTTCGCTTGGGGTGGACAGTGGTGGAGCATGATTCCCCACCAGTTCTTGTTCTTGCAAACACTTAGGTCACCCTTCTTTGGCAGTTTGACAAGGTAACCCTTCTTCCAATCAATGGGTATTACCTTTACTTCCTTCCAGACCTTCTGCAATAGTGGTGTGAGCATGTCCACTGTTGTCTCAGTGTCTGTTTTCAGTGCTTCTGGCGGGATTCCATCTGGTTGTGCTGCTTTCTCAGATTTCAGCAGCTTCATGGCGCTCTGGACGTCGACTTTTATTGGAGGATTTGTGTTCACTAGTAGTTCTGTGGCTGGGCTGCAGGTGGTATTTCTGGACGAAGTGCAGGTGGTGGTCGATTCAAGAGCTTCTTGAAGTGGTCGGCCCATTGTTTCCTTTGTTTCTCTTCTTTCGTAATTAAATTTCCGTCATCATCTTTTATTGGTTTCATCTGTGTTAATCTCTTCCCAGATAGTAACTTGGTTATTTGATACAATGTTGTCATGTCTCTCCTACCTGCGGTCTGTTCTGCTTCACTTGCCAGTGTGTCGTGTAAGTGTCTTATGTCTTTCCGTGCACTCTTCTTCACTTCTTTATCCAGTGTTTTATACATTGTACTCAGTTCCTCTTCTTGTCGTTGAGCATCCTTGCACTGGTTTATCTTCTGTTTTACCATCCTCCTCTCCCTGCTCTATCAGCTTCCATGTGTCCGTCGAGATCCATTCCTTGTCTTCTTGCTTCTTCCTTCCTAATACGGTTATGCAGGTCTCTTTCCATATAACTTTCAAAGAGTTCCAGTGCTCATCCACACAGGTTTCTTCAGGGATGTTCCTTGATATCTCCCATTTTGTCTTGATGGCTGGCTGACGTGAAGATTTCCTTTGTAGTTTCATCCTTCAGTTTCCGGATGTTGAACTTGAACTGTGGTCTATCACCCACTTCCTTGAAGGCTTTCAACTTGATTTGGAAGGCTCCTTGCACTAGACAGTGAGTGGTCTTAACCTACATCTGCTCCTCTTCTTCACCTTGTGTCAAGTAGGCTGCGTCTCCACTAACCAGGCGAGGTTGGACACAAATACATAGGAAGGAGTAATCGTAATATGTAATTAAGGATGGTTGAATATGTATCTAAGTGGCTTCAAAAACAAATGACCTCAGCAGATTCGACAAGTACAGGTGACAAACATCCATGTTCATCTATCGCTAAACGTATACTGGAAACTAACCATAGGGTAGACATAAAAAGAGAAGGAGAAGCTTAGTGATTCTGTATCATAGATACATGGCAATTTGAGAATATTTGGGATACTTTTTGTAGGATTGGTCTGTATTGGTGCCTTGTCTAACAGTATGAACGTATATAGTAGAGCGGGCTGATCACTTCTTTTACTGACGAAGTTTAATCAGCCCTCATACGTGGCCAGTGACCAATGGGATCTTTCTGCACATACACAAAAGGCTCGATTGGCATCCGATAATCTATTTAGGGTTGAGTGAACTGCAGTACACTTCTGTTTGTTCTACTGTATGGTTGTGAAACGTAACTATTAAAGATAGAGAATATGACAAGGCCCTCATAGCTTAAGCTGTGTTGCAGTGCTACCACGTCAATAATGCAGAATTCAGAGGCGGAGTCTTAAGTGGAACGGGTAAGTCAGTTGATGAGATTGTGAACCGTTATCGACTCAGATGGCTGGGATACATGTTACGCATGCCTAGCTGTCATCCTCCCCTTCATATATTGTTATCTGAAGTGAGCTTAGGTTAGT